TCTCCCTCTCCCTCCCTCTCGCTCCCTCCCGCCAGCTGTCTCGCTCTGAAATTATGGCCCCATTGTGCAGTGGCCAGCAGTCACGCCTCTGTCTGCCCTCCCCCCTTTCCACACACTCGACGCCCCTGCCTCCTAGCCAGTTTAGTTTCAAGTTGCACGAGGCACGAGGCATTTCGTGCTGGTCAAAACGCGCCAGGGAATCAGCCATGGGTGGGCCATCAGAAAAGGGGGAGGGGCTGCGAAGTGGGGCAGGGAAGAAGGAAGGACGAATCCTGGCCAGAAGGCCTGTCAGTGGAGCAATTGTTATAGCCTGCAGAGGGACAGAGCGGCAGAGGGGCGGAGGCGAGGAAGTAACAGCTTCCAGCTTCAGTTTCATAGACAAGTTCTCAGTTTTCGCATTGCCAACAATTAGGTGGCAGCAGCTGGAAAGCCGTAGGCAAACACTCAGAGAAATAGCCCATAGAATACAGCTGATTTGATTGCCCGGAGAGTGGAGTGATCAGATCCCCTCCAGCTTTTTGCTGTGTGTAGAAATCCTTTTGTGGAGCTGGCCTGCAAAGAAGTGGAAAACTAACAGAGTCCTGCCATAGTTCAAATACGAGATACGCCCCAATCATAACAACAAGAGCAACAACAAATGCCTAGACAATGCTGGGCAAACTCAACAATAATCGACAACAATAAAAAAAAAAATGAAGAAAAAAAGGAAAAATTGTTGGCCATGCCAAGGGGAAATGGAAATGGAAACGGGATGCCAAGCTGGCCAGTTGAGCCCTCCAAGAATTTATCGAAATGAAATTGCGACCTTTTTATGAATATTGCATGCGAAATGAAGAGCCAGCGTGGTCCGCATTAAAAAGGTTAATCAAAAGAGAGTGTAGGCGAAAAAAGGAACTTTTAACCAAATTGTTGCCAGTCATATTTTGTGATTTCTGCTTTTGCACCATCATTAAGGCAATTTCTAGGCAATTAGCTTGGGTTTTTCCCTCGCCATGCCCAAAAGGCTAGAAAATCTGAGCCACCCGCTCGGCGCGACTGTTAAAACCGCCTTTGGCCATAACATGGCTTTATTTGGCTTACAAAATTGTTGGCAGTCCCGGGGTTCCCAGGCTCATGAACTTTGCTCATAATTCAACACCTCCAGTAGACCGGGCCAAACAAAATTAATAAAAATAAAGAGGGCCGATGCGGTGGCGGCCGAAGGGGGCAGGGTGGTAGGAGAAAAAAAACAAAAGTACAACGAAAACGAGAAAACCTTTTTCAAATTAAACTTTTGCCAGCCCTCGCTCGAGTTTTCTCTCCGTTTCTCTCTCTTTCACTCGTGACCACTTGATGATGCCGCCCTCCGGTTCAGCCGGAAAAATACAAACTCGGCGGCACACTGATAGCCAGCTTTCCCTCCGATTTTCCACCCACCACCCCCCTCCCTCATTTCACCGACGGACATAGCTTTATTGCAGCTAAACAATTTTCATAGGCTATCAGCGCGTTGTTGGCAACTTTTCCTCGAGTGCAGCAACAAATTAAATTTGCGCTGGTAATTGGATTTGAAAACACTTCGCCCTGTCCAGACTTCAGAATCTCAGTGTGTCGGCTGTATTTAATGCCGCCAACAGCCGCAAGGAAGCTTTTCTTTTTTTTTGTCCACCAGGAGGCTGGCGGCCTGGCAGGATATTTGGTAGAGCTTTGGCCTAGAAACCGAGAGTCCGAGTTTGAAAACAAAAAAAAAAAGAAAAGAACAAGGCGAGGGCGGCGCTGCAAGTAAACAAAATGAACTGACATAAAACCAAATTGAAGCGGCAAGTCAACAGTTTGATAATTACGAAAGGTGTGGGAAATTGTACAGGAAAAAATCGACAGGCATTTGTTTATGGTATTGCTGACGGAAATGAAGCAACAAACGCCAGAACCTAAGGCCGGAAATTATAAAAACGCTCAAATGCAGATTTCCGGGCCGCAGAGAAGGCAGAGGGTTCGATTGACAAGCCAAGTTGCTTTGAATTTATTGGAAATTTATTTAGCTGTGCTATCATTTTCCAAATCGTTTGAGCTGCCACCGCAAAACAATTTCAATATTTTTGCTTTTGCCAGTCGTCAGACTTCAATTACATTTACAAGCGCTCAGTTCTGTGTAATTCAATGCCAAATGCTTTGGATAAAATGGGAAAAGCCATTAAATAATCTCACCTAAAGCGAGGCGAAACCCAGGGAAAGAAAATTCATTTTTCAAATCCCAATCACAGTTATTAAATCTTTGCTATATGGTTATGGTTATTGTTGTGATTTGATTTTATGGTAATAGATGGAATGCGAGAGACAGACAGGATGGCAGAGAGCAAGGACGACGAACGAAGCTTTCAATGCCTGCGATTCTCTTTGGGACCTAAGAGAAGGACCTTCGTTCGCTCTGTTATTGTAGTTTTGATGCTATCGCTGATGTTGCTGTTGTTCTTGCCTGCCTGCCGTTTGCGCGCGCTCTGAAACACAAGGAAAACCCGAAAAGGGACGAGCGGGAGGGGCAGAACGGAAAAGCGGTCGAAAGGGGGAAGGGGGGCGCCACAAGCGGATGAACGAAAGGAAAACGGCCTAAAATGGTTTACTGACGTCATAAAAGTGACTTTTCTTATCTGGCAGCGTATCTGCCAGCGAAATGGAACAAGCAGGATGCAGTGGTCTAAATTTAAATGTCGCTGCCAGGGCGGCAATCCTTCACTCGCATAAAAGGAAAATAATTATATTTAAAGGCAATTTGGGTGGCACAGCCTCCATCTCCTGCCGCAGCCTCATCTGCATCTGCATTTACATCCACATCCACTTTCACATCCACATCCACATCCTCATCGCCTCGAAGCCTCGAAATCCGTTTCAGCGCTTCAGCATCAGCTGCAGTGTCCTTGACCGAGTTTATGTAGATTTGCAAGGCTTTACACTGCGTGTGTTTGTGGGTTTCTTTTGCCCTGCATACCCCGCTCCCCCTGCAACTATATATTTATATATATATATTTGAGTACACATATATGCAAGTATTTGTATAATATTTAGCAGCCAGCGCCCGCTCACATCTCATTATTAACATATTTCGAGCTATTTTCTTACGGCTGCCATGGGACCGGGACTGGGCCAACGCTGCGTATGCGTTATATTTTACGATTCCTTCGTGTCTATGGCTGTGTCGGTGTTTGCGTGTGCTTGTGCGTGTGCGTGTGCGTATGCGTGTGTGCGAGTGCGAGTGTTTGTGTGTGGGCGTGGCCCGCCATGTGACTTATTTGAGCGTGTTTAAGCATTTGTGCTGTTGTGATTGCCTATGTTGTATAGGGGGAACTTTTACATGTGTGTGTGAGTGTGGTTCTGGCTGCCTGGCGACATTTGAGTTTTGAGGTGTTGACTTTATGGGGCCATTTGAGGCGCAGATTTAACGCCTGTCTGGATTTATGACTCAAGCAACAGAGTTTCGCCCCCATGAACAAAAATGAGCAGGCTCGCAGGCAGTCGCAACTAGATCGCTTTATGTCACCCACAAGCCACATAATTATGTTTGCTGTATAATCAACATAATTAAGTTTGCACACGTAATAATCAAATATTTATATCCATTCAATCAAATGCGGAATGCACACACACACACACTTTCTCTCCGGATGTCGAGATGACAACAGAAAGCTGTTACAAATTAATCCAAAAACTTGCCTCTCTCTGCGGCCATTCCATTATCCATTATCCCCCAAACAAAATGTCTCCTTCTTGCCGCCGCGATTAGCCAAGTTGTAGCAAAATAAATTATGCTCACGATTTGTAAAAGCTTTAATACGCCCCAGAGCAAAATCCTGAGTGCACACAGCAGGAGCAGCCATCCAGCCATCCAGCCAGCTGGAGCGGCATCAGAAGCAAGTGCACTTGGAGAAATAAGGCAGTACTTGCTGGCTAAGATCTTGGGATGCAGAGCTGCGGGGAATGGGGGATGCAAGTCTTTCAATTTAATAGGATTGTTACAACTTTTAAGCTCGATTAGATACTATAATCCTCATAACACCCCAATTAGCTAGTTTTAATTACTATACTGAGATAAATTGCTTAATTACAGCAAGTGGGCACATTTTCTTGCTCTGTAGAGCATCTGCTGTGGCTTGACTTGCGTTTGCTTGGCTTCAAAGACAACAATGAATAAATTTAATTTTAGCTGCGGCCGACCTACCGCACATAACTCCAAGTTGTTGCCGTTGTCGTTGTTGCTGTCGTTGTTCATGTTGACTAAACACCTTTGAGTTGGTGCCTCGCCCTCTGGCAGCTGTCACACGGGTTGTATACGTTATATTTCCCCCAGCTCTACCACACTCCCTCTCTCGCTCTCTCTCGCTCACTCTCTGCTTGCTTGCTCTATCTCGCTCGCACTGAGTGCATTATAACTGCATTTTGGTTTTGATGACGTCGTCACCATCGTCGTCTGATTTGTAAATTATGCTGGGTTCATAGGGATTTCGCTGGGATCTCTTAGCACTCCTTTGGCACACAGCTCTTTGGGATATTTGAAGAGCGCAAGCTTTAGTCGTAGCTTTTCACCTTGCACAACCATGTGACTGGCGAGAGAGCCGAAGAGAGCAAGGATGCTGGTCGGGGAGCTTTGCTGATTTTCGCTGATTACGTAAATAAAGGCGAAGCCTGCCAGCCGAGAGCGAAAAACACAACCACCAACGGAATGTGTGCGGCCAGAACTGTTATAAACAATTTCACTGGAACACCCGAAGGCACACTCGTCGGCCGAAGGAGTCGAGCCGAAGCTTTTCGCGACCCGAATCCTAGTGCTTCGTACGTGTGCGTGTGCCCGTGTGTGTCTACACGAAATGGGGCGAGCAGAGCAGTCGCTGCGCTGCTGGAAGCTCTCCAAAAGAGATGGCGCGAGAGAGAGAGAGGGAGAGGGAGAGAGAGAGAGCGAGTGGGAGTGGGAGAGAGCGGGAGAACGGTAGAGTCCTGCTGCTCCGGCTGCCTGGCATATCCACATCCTTTGTGGTGAAAAGTCAGTCAGAACGGGAACGTCGTCGCGAGCTGTGCTTGGTAGCGCTCTCTGCCAGCTGTGTGTAACGCCATTTTGTAACGCGAACGCAATAGCCAGTCTGTGGACTGTGTCGGTCCACAAGTCCTTTCGTCCTTCGCCAAACGTCGTCGACGCTAAACGCTAAAATAAATCATAAATTCCAGAGTGTGTGTGTGCCGCCAATCGAATCGTAACGGTATCGAATCGCATCGCATCGCAACCAATCGCATAAAATCAAATAAAATCAAAACGGGTCAGGAAAGCTGGGAAAAGTCCGAGAAAAGTGCGTCAGCAGCCGTTGAGCAGCCACATCGCATCATCAGCGCTGAAAGTAGAGGCAGTGAAACTGAAACTGAAGCTCAAGCTCAAGCTGAAGCTATATTCCTGATGCCTCAGCGGGAGGCGGGCGGCAAAAAAGAAATCAAATTACAAAACAGCAACACACACACACGGGCACAGGCACACACACGTCGAATCAAGAGCACATAGATACACCAACACTTGTGTCGACAGAAGGACTAACACACGCAGCGCTGAAATTGACGCAGACCACAGACCATATAATTTAGCACACAAGTTAAACGCAATAACAAAATAAAAGGAAAAGCAAATTGTACAACAAATATACGACAGATGAAAATAGGGAGCACTGTATTGGTGTGAGTGAGTGTGCTTGTGAGCGAGCGGGGCGGGGGGAAAATCAAACGAAAATTTCGATTGTCAGGCCAGGCATTAAAGTCAAATTAACAAGTTGCAAAACCTGGCGCACCAAATGAAAATCCCGCCCAACAACAATAACAGAAAAAAGTGTTGAAAAATGCCAGAGCAGCTGTGAAGGATTCGAGGGGGATGGGGGCTTTGTAGGGACTACAAGGGTACAGGCAAATACCAACGCACTTAACACATATTTACCAACACAGCGGCAGCACCCAAAACACACACACACACACACACACCCGCACGCAGTCATTTGGGGGCACAACAAAAACAAGGCAGAAAAGGAAAAACTCGCTGAAAAAGTATAAAAAAAGTGGAAAAACTTGAAACGCGCCAGAGATTCGAGTCGTGTCGAGATTCCATGTTATATTGCGGACTTGTTTTGCTTCTCTCTCGCCTTTGTCCCTAAACACACACATATATATATATATATATATGTACATTGCCCAGATATTTTTAGCACGCGGGCGAAAATTTAAATCGCCATCGAACAGAAAAAGAATAAAAACTCGAATGCTAAGGCAAAAAAGAAAAACGTTTTTTCCCCAAACAGCGAGGAACTCTGTGCGTGTATGTGTGCTTTGTTTTTTGCGTGCTGTTTTGGCCAACAAAAGTAGGGCTAATAAAATATCAACAAGATGCCCACAAATACGAATGCAAAAATAACAAACAATAAACGAACAACAACAACAATAATCGTGCTGGTGGCATATTGAAAAGGCTGCGCCTTCTGTTGCAAGGATAACCGAGAGCAAGAAGAAGCAGCAGCAGCAGTAGCAACGTCATACATGTGCAAGGATATTATCAACGTCATGCCTGTCGAAGTTCACACAAACACACACACACACACACATACAAGTGCAGTCTCAGATAAAAAGAGAAAGACAAAGTCAGATAGCCCAAAGAGAGTGAGATAGGTAGCTGCAGCATTTGGTGTGGCACATTTGTTGTTGCTTGGCCCTACCAAACATTATATTTTTGGATACAGCTCCCACGTCCCTCTTGGGTGTCTCCGTGTGCTAAACGCATTAAAGCATCATTCGATGCGGATAAATCTATTAAAAATAATTACAACTGAAAGTAAATTATTCTTCAAGAGAGTGAGATCGAGATAGACGGATCCTGGGTAGAAAGGCCTGTGGCTGGCCAGGCATTAGGGGGAAATCTAATTTATCTGAGCCACATCCTCCCATAAAGTCCTCGAGTGGATTTGCTGCCACATTTCCCCATTCTTCATAAGCCCTAAAAGCAGGAGCAACTTTTTTAGCTAAAGACCCAAGCCGTTTATGTTGAGAAAAGGAGCTTTGCTACCTGTTTGGATGGCCAAACTAGTATCTCACTGATCCCATCTTTACTTATTCAGGACTCCCTCGCGTGCTAGGGAAATTTTTGAGTTGGGACCTCGCTGCTTGGCAATTTGGAAAAGTTTTTGGCCAGGAAACAACAATCGAAACGATATAAAAATGTCATTTAACACGCCAAACGAGTCGGAGTGTGTAGCGAAAAGTTTTCGTCTTTTGGGGTGGAAGGAAATTAACTTTATTGGCCGAATCAAGCGAAAATCGCTAAACAAATGCGCCCAAGCACCTTTTCAAGTGGTGGCTTAAGCCGAGACTTGGAGAAAAGCCCTGGCCATCCTTATTTTCTCATTTCCCAAGTTGCCAACTAGTTGAGCCTTGCCTTCCCCATCTACACACACTCACTCATGCAGTGTGGCATCTTCAGCACGCACACACAGTTGGCAACTAAACACATGGCAAATGTGGCAAACTTGAAACTTATCGACGGCTCTAATCTAAACGGGACAAGCTGGCCAAAAACTTTTGCCCCCGCCTGCCAAAGACACTAATTCGCAACTGGGAAGCCCAAGAGCCCCGGCTGCCTGTTTTTCGCATTGTTCATGCGGCCCAGAAAAGTAGGCTATAAAAACTATCAACACAACTCAAGTTTTGTGGCAAGTTGTTGTGTATGGGATTTCTTCTTAGGTGCAGCACAGCTCAAAACATAAAAATAGGAAAAGTTTTGTTGTTCTATTCGGCTGTGTATTTTTAAGTTTTCTCTGCCCCCTCCCGCCCTGCCCCTCCTGCCACTGGATCATATAATCCTTTCACTTAACAAGCAAACTTTTTGGCAGCAGCCAAAACGAAACGGTACAAAACGAAACGAAACGAAACGGGAGGAAAAAACTTTGGCAAACTCCTTTGCATAAACACAAACATGACCGTAGAGCGAAGCAGCAGTTTCCCGAGTCATATCTCCGTGTAGATGTAGACATGAAATTTATGCATTTGCTGCCAGCCCGAAAAGTATTTATGTATGCGCTTATAAATATATGCCCCCACTTCCACAGCGTGTCTGTGCAGATAGCCAACAAATTTATGCTAGCAATATAACAAACAAAATATTTGCGCACGAGTTGCAAAAACTTTCTCGCAGAGCAACTTTAAAATAACACCGAAGAAAAGCTCCGAGAATTTGGCCTAAAGTAAAAAAAAGGGCCGCATGCAACATTGTTTTTTTAGCCTTATATATGCTAATTAAAGCGCCTACGCCTAGACATGCATATATGTACATATGAGAATATTTGTCAGGGATTATTTTCGTATGCAGCTCGTTTTTGTAAAGTATGAGAAAGTCTAAAAAAAGATCTCTCTCCGCCTGGGTAATCCTGTTAAATATCCGGCGTCTGTCAAATGAAGAGCAACTTAAATACGAAGGCTTAAAAATTGTTTTCGAATCTTGCGAACTCTGTTTGCCTTTTTTGGTGATTTGTTGTCTCTCGTTTTGCCCTTTAAAAACTTTGCATTAATTCAGCTTAATTAGTAATCATTTCAAAAGCTAGGTGAATTAAAAAATAGACTTAATTTTGTTTTATTGGAATTCACCAGATTAGTTTTGCTAACGGTGAAACGGGTATGTTAAATAAATTGCAGCATAAACTTTAAGGATTTTCCTATCGAAGTAGACAATAAATAAAACCACAACAATTTAAGCTAAATGCAAATTTAATTCGGTCACTGCGGAATAATAAAACTCATTCGCAAAACCCCGAACAAACAGCAAAAAGTTCGGGTACTTTGTGATTTATAGAGCAAAACAAATATAATTAAATAAATCCTTGAATAAATATGTACATGAACAGCACATATACACTCACACACACACACACACACACACAAACTCAAACAAGCCGAGTGATTTCTTTTTTGCCACTCGCTTTGCTGGCAACAAGTAAAAATAATTAATTATAGATAAATGTGTGCGACGCGTGTGAGATAAATTGGCAAAGCAACAGAGCCAACAGCAAAGCCGAAAACGAAAACGAAAACGAAAAACAACCCCTGCTGCCGATGTAATAAATGACTGTGCCGCAAAATGAGCTTTTAGTTTAATTAATCAAATGAATAATAATCAGCACTAAATAGTTGAGGCCAGTGGAAAGTGCCCAGTGGCAGTGCAAAGTGCACACACACACACAAACAAAAATGGCGGACTAGCGCCGGATGTATGGGATACTGAGGACAGGACATCGGCATCGTCAAGGACGAAAAGGACCTCGCCTCCGTTGCTGCCGCTGTGATTCAGATTCATTCTGGCCGCCCAACAAGGCAACAACAACAGCGAGCGCGGCGATTACAGCGGCGATCACAGCGGCAATAGTGGTGCGATCGGTGGTGCAACGCCATCTCTTAGTGGTGGTGGTTGTGTTGGTGCGGCTGCAGGCGATCCTGCGGGTCCCGGAGGAGGAGGAGGCGGAGGAGGAGGCGGAGGAGGTGGTGGAGGTGGCGGTGCTGCAGGAGGAACTGGCAACGGAACCGGAGTCGGAAGCGGAAGCGGAAACGGAAGTGCTGGCGGGGCGGACTGCAGCAGCGACGGCGATCCCAAGAAGACCTTCTCGCTGCACTGCTGTTGCGTGATCGTCGACATCACACCAGTGGCGCATCCAGGAGGACGCCTGACATCGGCAACAACGGCCTCGGGAAGGGATGCGGGTGGAGCCGCCGCTGGCGGAGGTGGTGGTTCCGGTGGTGGCGGTGGCAGTGGCTTGGGCCTCGGCCTCGGCGAGAATGTCTCCCAGTTGGCCAGCCAACTCTTTCGCTTTGGCAGCAAAAAGCGTCCTGGCGTTTGCATCTGCAATGCCCAATGTCGGCTGCAATCGCTGGGCGAGACCCAAGGCAGCCTGGGAGCCACCACAATTAAGACCCATCATGGCAGCCTGGACAGATTGCTGCAAAAGGGAGACGGCACTGGGACAGCAACCAGTGGTGAGCGCTCGATAAGCTGGGTGGTGGATGGTGGTGCGGCGGGCTCTGGTGCCCTGCTTAACGCCTCCTCCGATGAAAGTGATGACAAGAAGAAGAAACTGGACGAGGGCAACCAGTTGCCGCCACCGCCACGCCCACCCTCGCGGTCACATGCCAAGCCCACGGCCAAGGAGGAATTCGATCGGGGTGTGGAGGTGGAGAAGTTCTATCACCAGATCAACGGCGACATCTTCGAAATCACTCGCCGGGTGAGAGCTCGCGATGAGGAGACCATGGAACAGAAGTGCATCCGGCGGAAGGGATCGGTGAGGCTGACCGAACCCATGGGTCATGCCCACGTGCGGATTGAGCAGAGACCTCAGTTGCCACCGAGACGGCAGAAGAGTGCCGAGGAAGTGGCCACCATGCCAAAGAGTGCTCTGCGCCAACCGCCGGAGCAGCTGGAGTGGTTCGATCGTCGGGCTCAGCAGCGCCACTCCGCCCGATCCGCTGAAGGTGGCCAGGTGCGGGAGGAGACCATGGAGTGGCTGAAGCTCCAAAAAACTGCCAGTCCCATCCAGCCAGTGCGCACCTCGTCGGGTCCCAGTGAGATCACAGTCCTGAAGGACGAACTGCCCGACTGGCTGCTGGAACATCTGCCGCGCAAAAAGGAGCGGGAGCGAGATCGATTGCCTTCGGATGCGGACAAGGCTGTGGGCTCTGCGTATGCAAAGGCCCTGGCGGATCTTCTAAAGAAACCCCTGTCCCGACAAAGTTCCGGACCCTGTGAGTTCTCGCTGCTGAAGACCGATATTGTGGAGTGGCTCACCAAGATGCAGGGCAGCAGTGGAACGGAAAGGGGCAAGTCCCGTCGGTCGCATCATCGCCGAAATGGCAGTGGTGGCGATGCCCAGCCCCGTTCCAATTCCCAGGAAGATGCCCAAGATCAGTCGAAGACCAGCCATCGGAAGAGACACTCCCTGGGACACAGTGGAGCAGTCAGCGAAGAGGAACAGCAACAGCTCACTGCCGATTGGATAGCCTATCCTCTCCACAAGCTGCAATCGCTCGGAAAGCAACCGCCTCCAGCACAACCACCGGAGAGGATGAACATTCCCAGTGGCTATGCGGTGCCCAGTGCCCTTTCACACACTCCCTTATGCCAGCGGAGGGAAGAGCGTTCCCGGGAGAGAAGACTGCGTCACTCGGCCAGCGAAGTGGTGGGGAGTGGTGGGGCAGGAGCCGCATCCACATCAAACACCGCCCATCTGGAACGGCTGTATGCCAAGCCGCACAAGGAACGCTATCAATATGTACCGAAAACCAAAGAGTCAAGTGGTAGGAAGGAGCGTTCCCGGCGCCATCAGACCCAACGGTCCGCCACGGTCTCCGACATGTCCGCCCAGCGTTCCGGTGGCCACAAGCGCAAGTCCTCCAGTGCGGAGAGGGCTCCTCGTTCACCATCCCCGGGACCCTGTACGGATCCCGATTGTCCACTACTGCCCATCTGTACTGATCCGCACTGCCGGTACCAAGAGTGCCAGGCGAGGCAGTGCATCACGTCGTCGGTGAGCTCCGTAAATCTGGCCAGACATCAACAACTGGCGCAGGTGCAACTGCATGCGGTGCCGGCTCATCTGGTTGGAGCCATGGGTTCCGATGTGCCAACGACACCATCCACAACGGCCACGCCTCCGCCGCCAACAGGAGGAGGAACTATGGCAGTTGGAGCAACCGGAGCTACCGGAGCAGGAACGACGAGCGAACGCCGCCTGGTCATCTGCCACGATTGTCGATCCTGCGCCCCGCTTCTCAGCTGCCGGAATCGCAAATGCCTCAACGCCGCCAAGTGCAACTCACTGCCTCGCTGTGCCGCCGACTTCAATCGCCTGCGCACCCAGCTGGCCCAGCCGCCCACCACATTGGATGACATTGAGCCGGCGCCACTGGACGACCTGGAGATGCAGCCACTGCCCTCGCCACCGCATCAGCATCCGCACCATCACTATCGCAGCAATTCCCAGCCAAACACCCTACAGAGGGGCGACTCTGCCAGTTCCGCAGGAATGGGAGTAGGCGTCGGAGGAGCGGGACAGGGTGGTTTAGGAGGACCGGGATCGGGACTCGCTTGGCTGGAACCCACAACCACGCTAGTGCAACCACTGCCCGCCTATGTGCACCACTCGAATGGCAAGCTGATGAAGTCCGCCTCGGCTGCCTCGCTGAATTCCCGAAGACGGCGCCACAAAACCGTGCACTTCGGCGAGAATCTGCTGCGGGAGGTGTGCCAGAACAGGAAGCTCATCAAGACGGAGGCCCAAGTGCCCTCCGGCTCGGCGCCCATGAAGGCCAACATCCAGATGCTCTACAACTTCGTGGAGGGTGTGTTGAGCGCCTGGGTGGACGACGACGAGGATCAGGTGCGCTCTGGTGCCGAATCGGAGCCAGAGCACGGTGTGGTGCCCATGCAACCGATCCACAGATGCAACCGCCTGCGTTACCAGTGCATCCGGCGCGTTGTCGAGGAGGCCGCCGACCTCCAGGGCACCCTGAAACTGGGCAACTCCCGCTATCGCCATCGCCATTGGCGCAGCACCGCCAAGCAGTGCAACGAAATGTTCCTTCGCAAGGTAGGAAGAGCTGATCCTCTAGAGAACTCACTTTATTTCTTCTAGGATTCCTTGTCTTTCGAGCAAACTTGAAATTTCTGGAGTATACAGGATCCATAGTATTAGTTTGGGAAATTAATTCATATTTAATTATGCTACAGGCTATCAAATATGGTATGAGATGTGCTTTTCAACACATTTCCCAAACTCCGGATTCCTCATTTAGAAAGCCTTCGTTCTAATCCTCGCCATGCCTTCTGCCAATCGCTTTCGTTGGATACATTTGTCAGACTTTGAACTGCTTTGAACTTTTACTCCCGTGGAAATGAATGAAAAGCGCGCGAGAAAATGTCGCCTTGGCAGAAAGAGCATGTACCAATTTAGCCACAAACTCATACTCACGCTCACGCTCATCCCACCGCGAATTCCTTCAGTTAAGTGTATTGTCTGTCTGGTACAAATTCATTTGGGCTGCCTAACAAAACGTTGATCAAAGCCAAAGCATCCTTTTCACGCTCGAGCTGCTCCTGGGCTCCTTTCTGGCTCCACAAAGGAGCAATAAATTAGAGCATTAGCCCCCAAACCTCCCCGAGCCCACGCCATTTGGAAAAAGCTCTTAACACACGAACAAATAGCATTCGTTTTGGGGGCGGAGTGGGTGGTGTAAATGGGAAAATGTGTGGGGATGGGAAAAACTGGTACTTGTATTTAGTTTTTCGGTAATGAATGGCATTGATTGCAATACGCATGAATCAAACGGCTTCAAAGTGATAAAAGGCCATTTGTCCGAAAAAGCTGATGGAAAATTGAGAGAGAGAAATCTATGGAGTGGGCGTGGTCCCGAATGGCAAATGGGAATATGGGTACCGATGCAGGAAAGTATCTCAAAATAGGTAGATAAAGAATGCCGTGCAGTGATATATAGTATAGATTTCAAATGTGAGTAACAACTTCAGAATTCATTGGAAACACGCACGTATGTTCACTGTGTGTGTGTATGGGTGTTTACTTTGCATCCATGTAGCTACGTTTGGTTAACTTAACAAGCAAATAGATACATTGGTCAAGGGTTTCACGAGCAATGCTTGAATCTGCACAAAGATACCGAGAATACACATATTCAAATGAGTGAGCTTCAATGGAGGGGCTTCAGTTGGCTTATCAACTGAATGGGTCTGCATATTAATTAATGGCCAGAGCGTCGCTGAAAGAGTTTCTCCCGAATCGGAGGAGGGTATGGCGCGAATCGGATTTACCGGATTAAAGGTGGCATATCTGCGAGCTCCATCGTTTCCATGCCCCGTTGCTCTAATTAACGCTTGTTACCTGTCCACATGATCTGAATACCTAAATGTTTCATGTCCTGTGATTACTGCACACACACACATACACAACAAGCAATCCCATCCAATCCATTCCATTACAATCCCATCCCATTCCAGTCCCAAGGTTGCCAAGTCGCTTGTTAATTTTGATTGATTCAATGCTAAACAGTTTCACCTTCAGCCAATTAGGTGGCTCAGCTCAGCGCTGGATGGAATATTTAATCAAATCGGAATGACACTGCAGGTTTACCACCTGCCACCCACCCGCCGCCAAGACCAAGTGGAAACCCCAAACGAAATGAGCTGTGGGATAATTCCAAATTGATTTTCGCATTGCAATGCAGCAATTTGACTGGGCGAGCGAAAAAATAGATAGCGAAACTTTACAAGTCGACAACGAAGGGGGCGATGATGGATCTTGTCTCTATCTTTCGATTTTAGCCACATCTATATATTCAACCTGGCAGATTTCTTCGTGTTTGAATCAATTTCGTTTGGCTAACAACATTTGCGCCGGCAACGAAAACTTCTTTAATGCCTCACTTAATCGCAGCAATGCCAGAAACGTGCCACAGCCACCGAATAACTTTTTCCCAGCAGGGACGCCAGGGTAGCAGGATACCAGGCTAACCTTGCCATCCGTCCGCCCCCCGCCAATATAGTATACATATATGGGTTATATGGATCCTGCGAGGTCGCAGCCCCTGCATAAACACTCTATCAAATATTGTAATTTTTGACAGCGACATATGAAAAGATTTTGCCCCATCAAAACGAAGATGAAGTCTGAAGGTCTGGGAGTCTGGGCGTCTGGGAGTCTGGGAGAGGTGACAATGGCAGTGGCAATGACATGGCATCCCCAGCTCATCTCGTCCACATTTGACATTCAAAAGTCATTGATAATTATGGCTGAAACGTGAACGACAGCCGCATCGAGGGATCACAATCAATTCTTGATTAGAAATCGTAACGAAAGCACCTGGCTCACCTTCTGCGTATAAGTTTGGCGCTGGGGATGGGGCTGGGACTAGGATGTTTGGATGCTTGGATGCTTGGATGGACTATATGGATGGATGTATAGGGAAACCATCAGTGAGCCTAAGTGGGCGGGCTCGCCTGTGCGTAAATTGAATTTTGATTTTGCACCGATGCTGAGATATGGCGTATTAGGCCCAAAGTAATCAGATGGGCAAAGTGATGGGTATGTGAGTGGGGGTACAAGGATACCTGAATACCTGGGGAATGCCCCGACTGGCTGCCATTTAATCTTTTGTGTGATTGTTGCTGGGCCGTGTTCGCAGTCGCATTCGTGTTCGTGTTTTGGGTTGCCCATTTAGGCTTACCCATGTGAGCGTTTTTGGGCTAAATCGGAAGGGAACACTGTCCTTGGGTGGAAGTACCATTGTCAGAATCAGGGACTCTGCTCGGCTGATGAAATTCAAGAAACAAGTTTGCTGGCTGGTTGATGTACTACAACCTGCTGCCACTTTTGGGCCAATTAAAAATTCATGAATCATTTGACAAACTCCTTGGACTCGGGCCAATCCCTTCTGGGATGACCAGCCGGAATGCCAAATGCGTGGTAATCTGTTGTAAAAGGGTAGCCAAGTCCGGAGTCCGGACCGCTTTAAATCGCCTAATTTGATTAATAGAAAGGTATATTTTTCATTAGTCCTTAAACTAAGATGTCTCAGCAGAAAGCTGCCTTAATATCCGTAAATTTTCCACTGGGTCACTCTTTAAGTTCAAGTGGTGTATACATACTAGAGGGTGGCGTTCTGAGGTGGGGCTCCACAACCCCACCCACATTTCAATTTCCCTGACCCATTCTGCAACAGTTCCACTCGACAGCTTCCGCTCGGCTTGATGATTTCATGGAAAACTTCATTGAGCAAGCGGAAACTATTTCGTTTTGGCGGAGTCCAGGTGCGGGAGTGTTTTTGAAGTTTCCTTTTAAATTTTCACCCAAACTCTTCGAGCCACTTAAAGTGACACGCACAGATATCGATTGGGACGACAGCTCATTCCATTCGTTTCCATTCCATTCCATCTACCATTACTCCCAGCTGCTCGCAGCTTGTAACCGCTTTGATCTGAGTGGGAGTCCTTCGCTTCCTGGCCACCATCAACATCATCGAGAGCCCCGCAGTCGCTAAGCAAGCCACGTCTCAGGTTGGGCTCCTTTTGGTTATTTGCATGCCTTTGCACTGCTCTTCGATTAATATAAAATTTGATTAAACTTGGTCGCTCCGGCCGATGCTGCTGTGGGTTAAGTACACATGACCCAACTGGCAAAAGACGGTGACTCTGCGCCACGGGTGGGACTTCCCAGCCCGTGAGCAAACATCAGTGCCCCAGAATAAAGAGGAGGCAGTCAAATAAATAACTTGTAAAACATGCATATGAGCAAAAATGTTTGAAAATTGCCAAAAACGTAGGCAGGGGTGGACGGCTGACTGGCTGGAGTATCGAAACCAGGAGTAACCAGGCAACCGGGGAGGAGGTGGAGCAGCGGGAGCAGCAGGAGCAGGAGGAGGACCCCAAGACCTGGTCGAAGGACCCCAGTCACAGGAAGCAGAGACGAAACGAATAAACACATTGTAAATTGATTTCCTTGGGAACTGGAATAAAAATGGCATGAAAAGCAAGTGAGCGACAGTTGGGGCGTCGGGCAAAGTGGGCGTGGCCCCGGTCGCTACGCCCACCTCGATTGAAACGAATGAATGGGCAAACCAATTTTTATTGCCACGCGGGACACGTAGCCCGAGCGCACAGAGCCATCGACTTTGGTCTTGGCTTGAATTCCCACATGGACCGAAAGACTCCTCCTCCTCATCCCTTTTGGCCACCTCCCATCGTCCTGCAGAGAAGGCAAAAATGGCTGAGTGGCGAACGGAAGGAAGCTGTGAGATGGAAGATGGCCAGCCGGGGCAAAGGCAAACAGAATTCAGTCAGTCAGTCAGTCAGTGAGTCAGTCAGTCAGTTAGTGAGCCAGTCGAACGACCCGGCTTTTGATGAAATAACATTGCCAAGTAACAGTTTGCCTTTCGCCATTTATTTCCCTTCTCTCCCAGAGATTCTCCCAGCCATTTTGTCAATTGTTGTCTGGGCCTGCCCTATCTCTATCTGTCGAGGTCCTGTCCCCACACCCTAGCCTCCTTTTCGTCCACTAAAAATGCAGGCGAGAAGAGAAGACAAATTGCTTTATCGACGACATACGTAACAAATGTTGCTGTCGGCACTGACAACAACAACATCACAGAACAGCAGCGGCAGCAGCAGCAGCAACCTGGCCATCATTGGTTTCAAATGGCTTCGTCCTGCGAGGCTTACCAGGGGATGCCATCCTGCCCAGCCGCTGCTGCTGCCAGCTAATTATGACTTAATTATTTCAATTATTTTCTCTTCGATTTATTGAATTTTATCGCCGGCAACCGAAACCTCGTACGTGTTGCTGTTCGCCAGGCGCCCTAATTAAATTGCCTGTCCACATTCTTGATTCCTGATTCTTGATTCAGACTGAGACCATCCCTTATTCCTTCTTTTTCAGATTTCGGACGATGATCGAATGAGCCTAACTACCGCCGTTTCGGATGAAGATGATGGGGAAAGTGTCATGGCGTCACCATATAAAGCAAAGGCAACTGGCACCGCTGCATCCTCCTTCAATTGCACGGGAGCAGTTCGCAAAGCCGGGTAAGGAATCTGCTCCTGGGAATCCGGCGGAATTTATGCCCCCCGTAGATATAATCTGGCAGCTGGAGATAGCATGCGATGGGATGGGGTGTTCCTTGGCTGTGGCCAAGCCTGCTCACGTCCAACAAGTCATCATAAATAACATACCAGTCGGTGGGTCCATGGGGAGGCTCCTCGGGGAGCATAATTTCACAGTGATTAAGGGTTTGGTCAGAGGTGGAGAAAGCAGTGGCTGGGGGATTAACGTTATTATGTCCATATAGAGGGTATCAACGTTGCGATGGAGCCTGCACTGAAGCGAGATTTGGGTAAGGGACCATAACTTTTATTTAATCTTGATTCATATTAGCAGCCAGGTCTGTATAACATTGTATTTTCGAACGTGACTGTCCTTTAGATGGCTTTTTCGATTTATTAATGAACGCCCTGCTTTTTTATAAATAAGAAAGGATTAAAGAGCAAAAAGTTTTTATTTTATTGCCTAAACCATACTTTATATATTCTTAAAAAATACATTAATGATTGGATTCGTTTGGTAGTTTTTGTAGCAGCCACGCTTAGCATGTTAGAGAAACAAAAGGCATGCCAGGGTATGCCCAAGTCGATCCCTTCTGTTACCTTACCTACGTTCTTATGATAAACTGCTCGAAGACTTATGTACACAGGACATGCCCCATCCCATATCGCCGTATCTTGATTAACTTGGAAGGTTAATGGGTTGATGGCGAAGCTGTTGAAGTTCTCCCAGGGATTACGAGTGGCAGTTTCCTGCCTGCCCCCCACTTTTACCCCCACTCTTACCACCCACTAACCCACTCTTAACCACATCGAAATGTTTGCTTGCAGCTTCCTATCGGTAAAGAAATGGTTACTACGCAAGAAGCACCAGATCGAGCTGGCAAGAAAGCGGGGCTGGAAGGGCTACTGGGTGTGCCTGAAGGGCACCACGCTGCTCTTCTATCCGTGCGATTCCCGGGAGGGCCGGAGTGTGGAGGCGGCGCCCAAGCACTTGATTATCGTGGATGGTGCAATTATGCAACCGATACCGGAGCATCCCAAGCGCGACTACATCTTCTGTCTGAGCACGGCGTTCGGCGATGCCTATCTTTTCCAGGCGCCCTGTCAGGTGAGTATCTTTATTGCAGTGCTGCTGGCTGTGGGTGTGGGTGTGGGTGTGGGTTGGATTGGGTCGGGTTTTGGGATGAGTTGAGTTGCGTTGCGTTACGTTGCGTTGCGTTGGGTGGATGCGAGTGCCCCAGGATATGCTCGCTCTCATTTCGAGCAGTCAATATCCAAGGGAAGTCCTTCAAGAAAGCTTTGAAAGACTGGCCTTGCCGCGTCCGAAGTCAGAGCATAGCAAGATGGCAGCGCAAATTTGTTTGCACAAGGATATGCAAGGATATGCGAGCCCTCGCGGGTCCGAGTCGTCCTGCTCTCTCGTAATCGCCAGCCTGACTGAAATGTATGCCATAAAGAAACCGCAGATGGCGATGCACTCTGAAAAATATACACCCCTTTTGGACTTATTATTCTGTTCCGACTGAGTGAAGAATTTACTGCTTCGTTCACTTATAATATATATATTTATATTTGTTGATCACATACAGATATATACAAACTCTAAGATGGCTTTAAGTTCGGTTCAAAGCTTTCATTTGTTTCGTAGTTATAAGATGTTCATATAAGATGTTCATCGCAGATAAGTTCTCCATAATCTGGGGCTTATCATTTTAAAGTCGTTGTCTTGCGGAATATTAGGGAAGGCATTTTTCATTAAAGTCATAACTGGGGCACAATTTACAAAACGAGTCCAATGCATATTTCTGCGAGTGTGCATAGATGCAGATGCAGATACAGGACGAGGACGAGGACATGGACATGGACGAGGACGAGGACGCTGGCAAGGCGCTGACTGACGCAACCCGCAGAAGTCTCCTCGAGTGAGAAAGAGTAAGATATGCACTGAACGAGAAAGAGAGAGAGAGAGGGGGAGACAGAGAGAGAGAGAGAGAGAGAGAGGGAGGGGGGAGAGAGATAGAGGGCCCGGGGGCGGCTTAAAGTGTGAGCCATGATTGAGGTGGCGTTGACTGACTGCCAACTGGCAGATTGCCTTGAACAGCTGCAGTGGCAGCAGAAGCAGCATCCTTGTGGCAGCCCTAAACTGTTACATGTCTCAAAGGCATACGTTCGGCATGGCCCTCGTCGTCCTTTTCGTCCTGCTGGGGTGTTGCCAACTCTCGCTGCCATGGCCCAACGTGATTTGTCATTAAATTTGCATAACTGATAGCCAGCGATGAGCGGGGATGAAATGGGTTTTGCAAATGGGCGGCTCCGGATGGTTGGATGGTTGGATGGCTTGGATGGCTTAGATGGCTTGGATGCCATTCGGTTTGGGGGACAAGTTCGACGTTTGGCGCTGGGGAGCCATGTCAAATTGCTTGCGGTGCATTTGGTCTGCAATTTGTTACAATGTTTCCTCTTTAACATCCGCACTCTGTATCCATCCGCAGGTCGAGCTGGAGAACTGGGTGAACAGCATTCACAGCGCCTGTGCCGCCGCCTTTGCCAGGCACCGCGGAAAAACTGGAACGCTACACCTGCTCCAGGAGGAGATCTTCCGGCTGGAGAAGGCCATTGAGTCGGTAAGTAAATACGTTGCCATCAAGTGCGGCATATATCTATATGCATACACATACTGGCCGCAAAGACGCAAAACCAATATACATTTCCATACACATTCAATGTGGGCTTGCGAGCGTGCAAAAGTATTCGTTGCGGTTTTCGGTGCACCAAGCACCACCTGGAGAATTCCAGGATGAAATCCAAGGTGCATGGGCTTTGGATTGCGGTTGCATTTCGCATTTCGCATTTCGCATTTTGCATTTCGATGCAGACTCTGCTGCCGCTTTGTTGGCTCAGGAAATTGTTGCTGCTCGAGAGTTAAGTCAATTTCGCCAAGTGGCTGCAATGCAACATGAATGGGCCCAAACAGCCATCCGCATGCAGTCCATACAGTCATGTGAAAAGGGATAACGCTGCGTTTCGTCGCCGTAAGGCCGACTAAGCTCCACTGAATGGCATATGCAACAAATAACCCATCAATTGGTATCGCTTACGAATGCATCATCGAGCATGCCATTTGTGCAAATAGCAAATGGGATTTTAACTATTATAGATCCCACTGTATGAATGCAGCACGCCATTGAATGGCAGATGAAAAGCGAATTAAATTAGGAAGCCCATCGAATGGGGATTAACTGCACATCAGTGCAGTTATGTGTTTGAATTTCTTCGGAGTTGGAAAAACATGTTGTTACGCCTGGTAAATGTTGTGAATATTGATGAGCGGGAGATTTGACCCGTAAGGTGAAGAGCATCTTATCATTTTACTTGTCAAGAGCCCGAAAATCGTTAAAAGCTGCTCTGACCAGCAAAATATTTATTCTCATTCAATTTTAAGAGAGTTGGGAATTCGGTATATCACTTTCGAGTCTACAGGTTCATAACTCATTGGAAACTCCATTGCCTGACGCACTGACTAATGTAATCGACTTGAAAAACAAATTCCCACAAATATATACGCGGCAGGACAACATTTTCTCAATATCGCGCTGTCAACTCAGAAGTCAACGGCACAAAAGGCGACGGAACACAACAATCGCATTTTCCGCCCGCATTTTCCGCATTCCCAACCAATTTCTCAGTCTCAGGCGATTCCCCAAAGATTTATGCCATTGTCGAAACGAAAAGTGCGGGATGGATGGATGGGGCGGTGGAAAGTGCTTCTACTTGCAACTATTTATGTATTTGCTTTCAAATCAATTCCCCATCAATTTCGCGGCAAACAGCGTAAAATTCCTTGCACTGCAATTTATTTTCCTCTCCAGCGAAAACTTTTGTAAAACGAAAAGGGGAAAATGGTAAGGGATTGGAATGCCTCGGTGGCTGGTTGAGTGAGTAGGGCTGCTGGAAAAAAAACCAAATCAAAGTGAGGAAAATTTTTGCGCGGCGCAAATCGCAAGACAAAGCGAAAGGAGGCAAAGATGGCAAAACGAATCGCAAGAGCAAACAGAATTGAACTCGAGCTGAAACTACAAGAAATTGCACTTGGCCCACGATAAATGCTCTGGATAAACCAGGCAACTGGAAATCGAGGCAGTGAGATATACAAGCATAGAACCCATCCAGTGGCCCGCCAAAGAAAGTAAACTTTATTTGTTTATTTATTTCTCATCATGTCATTTTCAGTTGGCCCCCACCACCCACTTTTCCGTTGTTGTTTTTCTGCGCTTTTGTTGTTTGTTAGTTAGTTAGAAGGACTCCAAAAGACAATTATGTTGTCTGTCCCATCCTCAAGAACTTGATTCATTCGTCTCTGTCGCCAGCATCGCTGCTGTTCCTATTTTCTATTTTCACTGCCTCAGTTGCTACAGTGTTTGCCGGAAAATTACAACTTCCGGTTATGGGAAATCCAACAAAAAGAAAGTTTTTCAAATTACTATGAGAGACTCGTAGAAGTTTGCTCAGCGCTCGTAATTAATAGCCGGCAAATAAGTTTGAAGGTTTTGAGCTTTTATAACTGATGTATCTTTAAGGTCATGCGACTAGATCCATATAAATGTTGTAGGAACCGAAATATTATTGCTATTCTAATTTCCTGGTGGAACTAGCATACATCTACCAAATTTATTAAAATTAAAGTTGACTTCAAATAAATTAAAAGTATGTTTGCCTATGAGAAAATGACCTACAATCGAATTTAAATTTAACCTGAATTGCATGTCCTTAATTATTTCTGTGTGGTTAGTTACGGCGTTACTTTTTCTTGTCCCCCTTTTTTAATTAAGTTTTTTCCGCGACAAACTTGTGGTTTGATGTTATGACCAGGTCGAGAAGGCCTGCGTTCGCCGTGCCCCTTCATCCATCTTGCACTATCTGTCCCTTTGGATAAACCATAATTACTTCCTTGAACTGCAGCTTTTTTTTGCTCCGTTTCCCTATCTCTCTCGGCCTGTTTGTGTTTACTTCAGAAGGCAGAAAGAAAACAAAAACCATTGAGCGGAAGTCCGAGATTGCCATAAGAGTGCTCTGGGTCCTATTGCTTCCGCTTTTCCTCATTTCCCCATTTTCCAGCTACGCCACTTGGCCAAAAAACAAACTTGTTGGATGAATATTAATTAAATGAGCCTAAGGACTGCCCATAAATGCATTTGCAGTGCGCATTTAGCATTTAGTACTTAGCATTACTGCGCTGCTGCATTTGTTGTTAATTAATTTCCTAGAAAAATACCAGAAGGGTTGCGAGGCTGAATGAAATTATGAGAAACTTGATACACTAGGCAGTAACGCAAAAGAAAGGTGTCACACCAACGCATCATTCTAGTTGCTCCTTTTGTATGAGTGTGTGTGAGTGTGAGGGTGTGTGTGTGAGTGTGTGTATGTGCGTGTGGGCGGGTCACCCACCAACCACCAGCGCCTCTTTTCTGTGAAAAGAGCAACAGTGTTGTCACTTTTTTGCTGCCACTCTTTGTTGTTGCTGCTGCTGTTGCGCCTTCTACTACTTTTGTGTGACGCCTACGCTGCTAGCTGCCAGCTTGTTGTTGTTCTTGTTGTGTTTTATAGGTGTCACCTTTCGGAAATAATCATATATGTGTCAGCGGGGCAGGGGGCGTGGCGTGGCGGTGTTGGGTCGAGTGGGCGGTTTTGGCAGCACTTCGCTTCGTTTGCTTTAGCTTTTCTAGTTTTTTGCCTTACACATATGCATATATGTACACTTGGTATCCTCCAGCTGCTCCTTCTTTTCCTAGCTATCTATTTTTTTCTACTCGCATAAAGCACTCACACGCACACAGACACACAGATACACAATGCAGGAACGTAAAAAATAGTAGTAGCTGCCCGAGCGCATTTGGTTTTTCGTACGCTCTGGTTTTTACGCTCTAATTACGACTCCTACGACACCAGCACCCCCCTTTGCACCTGTAATCCACCACCCAACCCCCACCCAGCACCTTTTTGCACCTGATGTGCAATTGCCATGGCGGCGCTGTCTAAACAAGGCTCACTTGCTACTCCTGCTCTTCAGCCCGGCCCCACCAACGCCCCTCGATGCTTTCAATTTGCAATGGCTGCTGTCATTTCAGCTCAATAGCAACTCACTGCCGTCCCACTCCAGCCACGCCACGCCCACCCTTTTGATGCCGCCCCCGCGCACCACGCCCACCAATCCCGCCGCTTGCACGGTTTTAAAGTCTTGTTTGCTTTTAATTTTTTATAAACATTTTTGAGCCGCAAAAAACAGCTCGTAACGAACGAACGAGTGTTCAAAGGCTCACAAATATAAATCAAAAATAGTTGTTTTCGGTAGCAAAGAATATGAAATAATTCATAGGTATTCATATTCGGCACGCACCTACAAAACACTACCAAGTTCTTTTAAATACAAGGGTTTTTCAAACGTGAAAGTGAATTAAAGAATTGTAAACCTAGTCATATCCACGAAAAACTCTTCAAATGCCTGAAAAAAAACAATTTAAATTTATTCACACATTCAATGCTTTATTTATAACCCACAGGGCTTTAAAGGGCATTTCTAATGAAAGTTAATTGAATTGCCTTTAAATCTTTAGCAGCACATCGTTTCAACCTATGTGACCCACATCAGTAATGGAAGCTTTTATGCCTTTAAACTCACTTTTCACGCAGTCACATTTTTAAAATACCTTAACCGCAGTTTTTATTGCGGCCAAATGATTTTGTTGCGGGTGCCATCGATTTTAAATGATTGCACTAATTAAATGATGCAACAGTCGTGAATGGGCGAGCGTAATGCATTTTCAGTGCAGTCGTTGTGTGTGTGGCAGAAAATATTTTAATTGCGCTTTATGAAAACATTTAGTAAATGAAAATTGTTTTTCTTGACCGCTCAGCCGGAAAGTAGGCAATCATTTCATTTGTTCCGCCAGCATTGAAGATTTAAATTCCTTCTGCGAAAATTACTCCGCCAGTTGCACAAGCAACTAAACAGATACAGATACAGATACATTTACAGTTACAGATACAGATACACACTCGAGGGAAGACCCAAAGTGTGCAATTAATTTTACAATTAATAAATTGAGACTCAACCGCACTCACATGCATCCCATAAATATACTTGTATATATCTCCATATATACATATATCTTTTACTTGACTTCCTGCTGGCTGGCGTGTCCATAACTCGAAGATTTGTAAACCGAAATTATAATGAAATGCATATTTAGTTAATTTAAACTTACACCGAAAACTTTACTTAATTAGACCAACTTAAAGCCACACAAAATGAGAAGAAACTTCGATGAGCAGCGGGGTGGAGAGGAGTAAACAATGTGGCCCCCCATTTTCCGCCAGAAACACCCATTTTCCACTCGTATTGTGAATTTTTTGGGTTTTTTTCTTACTTTTCTGGCTCTGCTTTCTCTTCAATATTTTTTAATGAATCCATAAAGTTTATAATTACCATAAAATTTACTTGTTCGGTACGTTTTTGTCCTGAGGTTTCTTCATCATGGGGGGAGAAAAAAACTTTAGTTTGACCTGGCACACACACACACGCAAAGGCATTATATACGTATAGAGTGAGAGGGTGTTGGTGATTGTGGGTGGGCGTGGCATTTCATAAACTAATGCCAAAATGGTAAAAATTTATGGCAAGAAATATGAGAAACGGGTTGAGCGCCAAAGTCCGGCATAAAAGGCACACATGTGTGGGTGTGTGTGTGGTCCAGCTTTGTTTTTGGCCAAACGTGCGAATATTTTTGCAACTTTTGGTTCAAAGTTACACAGGAAATGGGCCTGGCATATGGTTGCCACCGTGGCCAGAAGGACACGGAGACACGGGGACATTGGGACAGTAGAATAGGAGCGCCGGCCCTTAATCCCAGGATCCTGCGCTGCCCTCCGCCCCAAAACCTAACCCCAGTGCAGAATGCGTTTGCTTTGGTTTTTGATTTGTTTTTGTTGTTCGTGGGGCAGGAGGACGACGCCTCTGTTCGAACGAGCCTGCTGCATGCAGATGCGAAAATATGCTTTATGATGCCGCTGCCACAGTGGGCGTGGCTGTGGTCAGGGGCGGAAAATTCAATTCAATTGTCAACAGCAACCAGTGCCGAACACCAAGCACCGAACACCCAACACCCAGGCCAGCTCATCCTGTGGCCACAGAGCTAGGCGCCAGTTTAGAGGTTTGAGTTTGGGTGTATTCCGGGCTTAGCATCTTTTCTGTGGGCCAGGCCGGAACGGGAACAGGCCAGGCTCACCGCTCACCGCTCAACTGCAGCACTCACACGTTATATAATGTGGCATCATTTTGTGGTCAGCATTTATGCAGACCATATACAATTTTTCAGGCCTTTTGCTGACATGGCCGTGTCCGTGTCCGTGCTCGTGTCCGTGCTCGTGCCCGGCATCCTCTCGTTGCGGTTTATGTAGAGTGAACCCCGGCTCTGACTTTTGACTGCAATGGAGCAGCCATTTAATGCACAAGCCATGTCAGAAGTCATCGGAGCAGGTGGCTCAAAGGGTTGCGCCGTGCCATTGAACAACTCAATATCCTTTTGGACGCAGGCCTTGCATTTCCACCTCTGCCGCCCACTTTAATTGATTGTTATCATGGGTGGGGGGGAAAGTGGCGGGATGCGGAGTGTGGCAAGCAGCGTGGCAAGGACAGGGGCCATTAGCAGTGGCAAACAAAATACACTGATACCCGGGTCACGAGTCCTTTTGCCTCACTGCCGCCACATGATTATTATTTCAGTCCATTGTTTTTGGTTATTGTTGTACTAGTGGTTTTGCCATTTCAAGCATCTTTGGCTTGTCATGCGAGATACGTAGAACGTTGAGTACTGAATACTGAATACTGAATGCTGAGTCCTGAATGCTCAACGCTGACAACGGGGACACAATAACAATGGTAAAATGTATATTTTAATTGTACTCCCGAGTAAAAACATATATCAAACTAAAACACAGCTACAACTACAGCTACAGGACGAAAGCAAAATAGCAAAAACAATGCAAGAACCATGAACTCTCCAAACTCTAGACTCTCAAGCGGAAATGGCAGACCAGAGACAACAACAAGACTAGCAATAATAATAACAAGTACATCTAGCAATGGCAATGGCAGCTCCCGACCAGCTTCAGATTCAGTTGGCACACTGAGCGAAAAACTGACTGAGAATCTGCTTCTATTGAATAGTATTAGTCCCAGGCCAATTGTTTTGACATCTTTGTTTTTATACATACATGCCACAATTATTTTTATAAATGGATGTGTCAAAAATAATTTCCTTGGAGTATTTTAAATTGCAGCGATGAGGGAAAAATATAAATGTCAATCAGATAAATGTCATGTGCGTTATTTGATGATATTTGCAGATACTTTGATTTATTTTCCCCTAGTGTAGCTGCCTCACAAATGTGAGCTCTGGGCTGGCGGCATCATCTGGGGGAAGAGGCAGCCTCAAGTGGCGCTTAATGAAAGCGCAACAGACAACGGCAGGACCACAGGAACACGACCACACGACAACTGAGCGGGACTGGATTTGGAGGACAGGGGCAGGAACATGGACATGGACATGGCCGGGAGTGGTAGTGGGAGTGGGGGGACAAGCATAAGAGCTGGAGATACAGGACAACTAAATAGGCGAACCGCAAAAACTCATCGTCAAGGAGCGACAGATACGGCCAGGGAAAAGTGGGAAAATAGATGGGGAATCCAACTATGCAGCCATAATAAAATTCACGGGAATAGAGATGAAAGCAGTGAGCGAGCACAGTCGTCCGTAGGACCTCGAGCCGATGCCGCATCCGGGTCCGGATTGCCCCACCCGGCGTCCCCGGAAAGGAGGAGTCGCTCGAATTGCGGCTGGGGCTGTCACTTAGCGCGTGACATGTGTCAAAACAAGCGGCAACCGCAGCGAGACCGTGACCAGAGCCTCCGAGCCTGCTGCACAAGTGCATCGCCGGCTTCGTCCTGGGAGTGCTGTTAATATCCTTCCACAGCAGCGGTGAAATGGATTTGGGCGGTGGGAAGCCTCAAAATCTGGGCGTGGTGGCACTCAGTGTGGGAGTTGCCGAAGCGGAAGCAGCCCAAAACCAAAAGGAGATTGACTTTAAATTAAGAACACATACCGCTGGAAATCTAAAGGGGTTTTTGCAACACAGCAGCGGAATTTCTAAGCCTAATGTTGTTAGTAGAAAACCCTAAAGTCACCGCATAAAAACAGCATTTAAAGCTCAGAAGTTAGGTTTCTGATTAAATCCACTTTGCCAGCGTTCCTTCCATGATACGGCAATAAATCTAGCTTACATATTTTATGCTTGGCATTGCTGTTTGTAATATCCTTAGAAGCTAAAATTGCTTCGTGGAACAGATAGCGTCGCGTGTTTGCCAAATATTTCCATTGCATGTGCAGAAGGCTTTTCTCTCTCGAATCCGACACCCAATGGAGTACAAACACCCTGGGAGCGAATCGCAGTTCAAGGATCGCCGGCGGGGAGTTATCGTTGCGTGATTTACACTCCCAATTGCATGGCAATTACAAGTCCATTAACATTGCCATTAACTCTTGGAGTGCCTCCTCCAACGAGCGCAGCAAGTGAGATGGAGTGCAGCACAATGGCTACAATGGCCAGAGCGATTAATGGTCAAGCAGGCGAGAGCTATTTATGGCCCAGGAAGAGCCCATATTACTTTGACAAGGACAAACTGTTGCCCGCCTCTGGAAAGTGTCCTCCAACCCGGCCATTCCCCCCCACTTGCACAGTTTTGTGTTGTAAATAATCACAAAACTCTCTCGGTCCCCGAGATTGTGTCCCACTGCCAGCCGCCCAACCGCCCAGCCTCCATCCGGTTTGTGTTTGTCAAATAAGCAGCTTTCCTCAAGTGCCAAGTGCCATTGACAGCAACCCGGCGAACTACTCCTTCGAGTAGGATGGTATCTCACCCCAAATCTCCTGCCACCGATATGTGTGTGTGTGCGGTCGCAGTGCAAAATGGGATTTTGGTTTGTTAATTAACCAACTTTATGCCTGCCGAATAGAGAGCGGAGCACACGACCAAGATGGCTTAGACCACAACTGGCAATCATTGGCCATCTTTAGTGGAATTGAATTAAGTGAGTTCACATACACACACTCTCATATCGATTTCCACCACAACGCACACCTTGTCATATCGGGCATACGTATGCGAAATACGTATGTGCAAATAAAATGCACAAAACTTTGATTTATTTCCACGTAAAACAAACATTGAAAAGGCTCAACGTCGCACTGTTCAAATACACACAGATGGTAGAGCTGTACTGTCGCTGTAGCTACGTAATCCCAGGTAGGACCTCTCTCCGCCGCCTTGCCGCTCCATCCAACGATCCTTTCGTCCTTTTGGTTGCTGCCTGTTTATGTGTACACATTCATTAAAATGTCGAACATCGAAAGTGCCTATTCAGGTTGTTGCCACGCCCACGGCACACGCACACACACACATACTTGCATTTGCATTGGCAACCTGCAACTGCAACGCAAAAGCAGCAACAACAACACACAACTGAATCTGCATCTGCATCTGCAAATAATTGTCAGCTTACTGACTCGCATTCAACGCAGCAACAACGGCAACCAAAATGAAACAATCACGTGCTCCGTGAGATCTATGCAAGCGTGCTATAAATGCACGTGAAAGTGGGATCCAAAGTGGGGATTTCAAATGCTGAATTCTGGTTGCACCACCGAAAAAAGGGCGCAGGGCGGGCGGCAGCTGCGGCGGAAGTCAAACGGTATTTGTAATGAAAACAGGGGCATGTATATGCAGCTCCCGTTTGCTCCCCTTCGAAAAAGAGGTGAATTTTTTTCTTCCTTGCAGTTTTGGTGCATTGCCAACGCACTTCAGTATCAGGGACAGCAGGCCAGAGCAGCCGAGAGATATTTGAATTGCGCAGGGGTAGGGGCAGGGTGCGATGCGAAAGCTGCACATGACGCGTGATTTATGTATTTTCGTCAAATGGCAGCCACCGCAGCGGCAGCAGCAGCAGCAGCAGCAGCAGTGGCAGCAGTGGCAGTGGGACAAAGCTGCCATGAAATGCTAATGATGCCATGACTCGAATGCTTTCATAACCCACCAACGACTGTCGCACACAACCGAACACACACACATGCTTAAACACCACATACATATGTATATGGCAGTGCCCTGCCTCCTTATATGCATATGCCAGCACTAACCCGGTTTTATGTCCTTTCGCACCGCAGGATCACAAGCTGAAGCACATGGCCGAGCTGCAGCAATCAGTTGTCACCGATCAGGAGACGCGTCATCAGATCCAGACGCAGATACTGCAGTGGGAGGAGAATCTGGAGCGGCTCCACTGCGAGCAGTTCCGGCTGCGCTGCTACATGGCCTCGCTGCAAAGTGGCGAGCTGCCCAATCCGAAGGTGAGTTATGGCCCCAAAAAGCGACCACTGCCATCGACCAGTGCCCCCAAAATTCAACCTGTCAGAGAGATAAGTCAAATGCAATTAATGGCGGAAGCACTGCCGTCTGGCGGCTTTATAATTCATCCAGAACGAGCACACTAGTTGGGGCAAAAAGCATTGCCTACATTTCGGGGCTGCTATGGAGGGTGCGCCGCGTTGGACGCCATTTAAATGCATTTATTGAAAAGTAATGGTAATTTAAACAGCCCAGTAAATATGTACATACTTTAATGTAATGTATTTCTTTTATTAAAACACAATGGGAAATGCCTTGAATAAGTCGCAGTAATTTTAGATCGCAATTCCTCTTTTTGAGCCATAGCTGAGAATACAATAAACATGATGAAGGACTTAATCACTGCTCAATGGCTGAACAATTCCGCCCCAAAAGCCACCAGAAGGCTTAATTTAACCACGCTTCACAGAAACATCAAAAGCAGATTCACAACCTGGTCGAGAGCTTAAAACCGGGACAATGGCATCGGCCCAAATCCCTCTAACAACAATTTACCCCGAAACCCGTTTACAATTCCGTTTAAAACCCTTTACGGGTTCGAGTAGTCTATAATTACCTCTACCTATTTTCACAATGGATGGGGCAAGCCAATTCAATGGTACGCTTTTGGAAAATCAAAACCCAAACATGCACAATTAATCTCCATAACAAAAGTTTAAGCGTCTTAAATGAGCTTAAAGGCTACCTTCCGTGGCGCCAACTGTTGGCAACCTTAGAAGGATTTGCCAGCGCCGACTGACTGACTGACTGACTGAAGAAAGGGTTGAAAGTTGATTGCGCTTTTAATGGCAGGCTGGAGCTTGGGTGGCAAATGGGGTTCCAGGTGCTGTGAGGTAAGTGCAGTTGTGTGCCTGAAAAGCAACATTATTTATTATTAATAACCGCAAAATGCAAACAACTTCAGCACCTGTGAAGAGAACAACTTCAGTCGACTGCAGAATGCCAAAGGCTTATTTGCATAGGTGTACGAGTGTGCGAGCGTGTGTGCCTTGCCTGCTTTTTTAATGCTCTTTGAGGGGATCGTAAATATAACGAAATTAGTTGAGGGGCACTGGCGGCACAACTCTCTATATGCCAAAAATAACTTGTATTCACATTTCATTTTCAAACTCTTCGCATTCGTCACTTATTCAACAGTCGCTGCTAACTCACGTGTCGCGCCCCACGAAGAACACGCTGAACAAGCTGGGCGTATTCACGGTCTCCTCGTTCCACGCCTTCATCTGCGCCCGCTCGCCCTCGCTGCTCAACAATCTCCTCGCCGGACGCGGTGCCACCAAGCGGCGACCGCCGATGCTGTCGCGGTCCAACAGCGGCTCCAGCCGTCGCTCCATGCAGGTGAGTCCAATCTACAGGTTAACACTGGCAAAAAAGTTGCCCAACAGCTGTTAAATGTTACATTGCTGCTTGGCAATAAATCATTTACTTTTTAAGCAAATATTCCATAATATGCCCTAAATTTGTGCAAAATAACATTTAACAAAAACTTGCCTGAGCTTAGGCTTACTTTTTGATGAGTGTATGTATGTATATAAACCTTTATGTGTGTTCACGTTCGTGCGCCGCATCAATGTGTGTGTGCATTTGTTAGTGGCCACGGGGCGTATGGGTAATAAAATTATTTCAATTTTAAACGCATTTACGGCGCAGCTCGTGACTGTTTGTGAGTTTATGGCTTGTTCTCTCTTAATGTGCGTCCGTTTTCGTGTGTGCGTGTGAGTGTGTGTGTATGTGTGCGAGTAATTGAATTTTTATTTAAGGCAACGGAAACGGCATTAAAAGCTAAATTGAGCGCTAATGCTTAAATGGATGGCCACCAAAAAATATGTCGTCCGGCCACGCCCCTGTCCATTAAACCTAGCTGTTTTTGTGTATTTTAGCTTTTATAATTTGCATTTAATGGCCATCAAAAATTACAAAAAGAATAATGAAATTTATGATGGGTCTCCCTGGTCTCTCACTCTTTCTGTTTTTCTGTTTTTGTTCCCTCGCCGAAAGGCAGAAGAAAAGCCGCGGCAAAGTGAAAAAAAAATGCGAACCCAAGATGACTTGGCAAAGAAAATATTTGCATATTTTAAGTGAATAATGCAGGAGTCCATTTCAAATGGTGATCAGATGCCGCCCCCAACCCTGCTAATGACCTCAACACAATCAAATCTAAATCAAGTCGAGAAGTGGTCCGTTCGCAGAACAAGCAGAGGGAGCAGTTTAAATTCGAGCAAATAGCTTGCAGGCCTTATGCTGTGTGCTGTATTATATAATAAACCACAATGTCGACTGTCGAGTCGATTAGCTGGAGCAGAACTCACTTGTGCCGTTTGTTAAGCCTCAATTAGTATAACCAATTTGTGCATATCTCGTGTTTGTAATGAAATTCATTTCATAAATTCAATTTATTTCGATTACTGACAAAATAATCTTGTGCACAACCCGGCTTTCGTGGGTTTCACTCTCGGCTTCGCTCTGCCCGGCATACACTTCATTTCCAATTAAATTTGCCAACGCTGCACAATTGCCTTCCCCCCCCCCCCCCCCCCCCCCCCCCACCCCCCCCCCCCCCCCCCCCCCCCCCCCCCCCCCCGCATTTCACCTTCTATCAGTAGTCACGCTGCCACTCGGATATGAGAAAAAAAAAGATGGGAAAATGCATTCACATTCGCATGACCATGGAAAAACAAATGAAATGAAATAACATAAATGAGAGGCCCAGTGGGCTGTTGCTGTTGTAAATGCCCTGCAAATTCAATGAATTTGAAAAATGTGCATTTGATTTGGTTCATACTTGTATATAGTTTACCCCGGCAACCAAACTATATCTCTACCGTCGTTCAGCTGCATTTCACTTGGCCATTTTTCGAACATGTCAACTGCAATGCAGCTGAATTTGCAGCTGCAATTCACAAATGGCAAATAAAATTAAAGCTTTCCAAAGCAAATTATCAACGCCACTACGAGGCCAGTTATACGGCAACCGAAATAGCCAACTCGCAAACGTTGAAATACACTGGCTAAAATTTAATTAAGCTGTCCATCGACAACGGGTAGAAGGCTGAAATTTTCCTGGCCTTAAGGGGGCTCAGTCAGGAACAATCAAAAGTTAATTAGTCAGTAGAGTTAAGTGTGCGAGAGGCGTTCGTGCAGAATTAATCGTCTTTCAGGGCTCCAATCCTCCGCAACAGTGCAAATCTGATGACAATTGGTGCTCGAATTCAGGAACAGATAGATTAACAATTTGCCATGCTCACAATTGAAATCATAAAATTGGTTTTTAAGCATATTTGACATTGTCAGTCTTCAATCGGTTTACCCAACAATAAACAATGTATGCCATACAATTTTATAGCTAACATGCCATTTCTTAGCTCCTGGCCCAATCTTGCTATGAAATGAAAACAGAATTTTACGTATATTCATATACATATATCCATGAATATAAAGTCGACATATTTGACTGGGCAATAATGATCCCGTAATCGATACGCAAAACTGTTATGCAATGCAAATGCGAATGGGCGGTTCCTCGTCATTTCTTGTAGCTGGTATCCAAGTGAGAAGCAGCCTCTTCCAACTGCCAAACTAATTCAATTGTCCTGCGTGTATGGGGGGGTGTATTACCTGGACCAGGACCTCGTGCAGTGGATGAACTGCTGCTGCCAACTTGAGCGAACCCATTGCCAATGGCAGCCAATACAAATGCAATTTCCAGTAGCCGACAACTGGCAGCTGGGCCACCTGATTCGTTTACAGTTGCAGTTGGGTAGCGGCAGGGCCAGCAGGACGAAAAGGATGTAGCGGATGCAGAGATGCAGCAGCAGGAAGCCTCATCACGGAGTTAACATTGGATGACGATGACGTTGTGGAAACGGTTAAGCATTTTAACTGAGTTTTCTTCAAACTCAACTCGATTCGGCAGCGGATCCCGCCTGCAGTTCCAGATCCGCGACTGCTCCTGCTACTACACTGTGCGAAAACATTGCGGATTGAATGTGGTCTTCACTTTTATGACATGTAACTGGGAATGCACAAACGTGAAAATATTGCAAGCTGACATTTGCCACATAAAGGTTCGACTTTTTGTGAATTATGTGGAATTTGGACAGATTTTTTCTGAGTGGGTTCTTCTGAGTGGTGCCTGAGCCACTGGCAGCGACATTTTTCATTACATTTCAGAGGGTCGAGGGGCTTCGACTGCGGGTACCAATGTGTGTGTTTGCTATTTTTCAATTTTCACTTCCGTGTGGCCATATTCAAGAATGCGCCGGCTATGGATGGATTGAGGGTATGGGCGCTATATATATGTATCTGTATCTGTATCCGTGAGTGTATCTGTGTGCGGGCCTCGCAAATGTCTGGGCCTGACTGCTTAATGACATTGTACGTGCATGTGTGTGTATATGTCTGTTTATCCAATCGAATTTTCTGCCTTTTTCCAGATGAATTCACGTGACGAACCGGAAAAAACTTTCAAAGTTGCAATGCCCGACAATGCTTACTCGACAGTTTATCTACGTGATGCCATGTCTGTGGAGGAATTCCTCGCCAGCGCCTGCGCCCGTCGCAACCTCAATCCCATGGAGCACTTTGTGCGCGTCAAGAAGCGACGTGACATGGAGGATCACAATTACTTTGTGCCGCATCGCAACGATCTGATTGAAAATTATGTAAGTACATAATCACAGCCAGAATGTGAATATGCCACCTGCCTCCAGTTGCGCATGTAATTCCATGGAGTTTCCTCTCCGGCTGATGGCCCCATCCAACTCCAAGTTCAATTCAACTTATCGAATTTAACTTGGAAATTGCATGTGGAGCCGTGCAAATGGAATTTGGAAACGTGGCTAGGGTGGAATTTTCAAGGAGATGACTTGGAATTACGCGTTTGCCCTTTAAATCAGATAAATCACATATCAGCTTTGGCAGCCTTGCTCTTTGTTATTTGCAGTAAAATTATTAAATTCATATCGATACTGTATCACAAAGTGAGTTCTTGTTATTTTTGGAAAACGCTGCTCAGCGCACTCAAATTTTAACCCATTTTGCCCTTCCCTGCTACACATCACAAAATTCAAGAGGCTTATCTCGAAATGTGATATCTTTAAATTAATTTTAGGTATAATAAAGCTATTCCTTTTACGCATCCCAAGGCTGGCTGTGCAAATAGGATTAAAAAAGATTAACTTTAAATTGAAAGTGGACCAGAGTGGTGTGCATTTTATGTATGCCCTGCTTAGAGTTCACTTAAAAAAGAAAAGCCCTTTCAAAGTACCTTTTTTCACACCGCATAGTGTTGGGAGTTTAGGTTGCTGGATAAATTCATTCATTCCTGCTAAAAGCTACTGGCAACAAAGTAGCCAATTTCACAATTAGCCCAGCTCCACACCCACTACGCCCATTACTCTTCGATTTCCAAAAACATAATGCCATAAATTATGAACTTTCCCGTTGGCCATTTCCCTTTTCCCCTTCAGTTGGCACACGATTACTCTAGGTGAGACTTTAGCCAGCTGCCAAGTCAGCCGCTAGCTGAAAACTTTCGAGCTTCTGCCTCCGCCGACCCCTGCAATCCGAAATCTGAACTTCGACCTCAACAACAAGCTAGTAAATATTTGGCCCAGCCAGGCCAATTGCCAAATGGCAAAAATGTGCAACTGCAACTGCAAATGGAGTTGGAATGAGAATGTGAGTGGGCAGGCGTTTGGCTTTGGTGGGCTTGATAAAAAGTTCGTTTCGCCATTGGCAGTTCAATAAATTTCGACAACAACTTGAGCAACTCCCAGTAACTCCACTCAATCAATTTGTGCCCCTGCCCCTGCCCCAAAATGATTGCTTGCGAAACTCGGCTAATTTGGCACTTAGCTAGCGCACTCAAACTCACTTCCCATTGATGTGTCCTTCCACAAAATTCCACAGAGATTTTAAAGTTGCATATATAAAACCAAACACGATTAAACAATAGATCATGTACATTTTACAAATGTACTTTTTAATCTAGTCGCATTGCTAAAATATTAATTAACTGGAAAACATAAATTCCCCACAGCTACATAATCACGAGTTCGTGGAGGTCTGCATGAAGATCCTGTACCAGGTGGAGCTGCAGCGCACGACTCTGGAGCAGATGTGGGGCTTCTCCGTGGAGGCTGAGCTGATCGAGAATGCGGAACGCCAGGATGAACTGTGCTGCTACGTGAGTCGCGTGGAGGACAAGAGTGTGGCCATGCACAATGGTGAGTACAAAAGAAGAGGACGAGTTCTTTGCCTTTGAGTTCATCATCCAGGCGACATGACAGGACGAAAATGGGTTTTGACACAAATCGCATTCAGGCGATGAAATCGTGCATTTAATTTATGCCATTGAGGTGACGCAGCGGTACGCAAGGAAATGAAATAGAGTCTTTGTCTTCGTCTCCAAGGATTGGTGGCTCCATTCTCCAGTCCACAGTCACCAGGCACCAGCCTACGGCATCCAGTCCACTTTACTCTACTACTCAACTGGCGCCCCGAGCGAAACAATGTGGCCCAATGTTGCCGAGCTAAATTATAAAGTGCCCAGGTAGTGGCCCCTGCCTTTTCCGCCTGCTCTTTTCTGTACATCCATGCTGCTGCTTTTATATTTAATGCTTTTCACTTTTATGTCATAAAAAAGAAACGAGAAAAAGTGAAGAGCACAAGACGAAACTTGAGCAAACTCACTTTGGTCTACAAGGGAGACCGAGTCGAGTCAAGTGGAGTTTGAGCCCGAAAAGAAAGAGGAGCAGAGGAGCAGAGGAGCTGGGGGATCCTGTGGAGTGGGAGGAGCGGGAGGAGCTCCTCGGGGCGTGCAATGCGAAAAGTCAACTGTCAGCGCTTGTTCCACCTGGTGAATGGGTGGGTGGGCAGGTGGTGGTCGGACGACGACGATGATGGTGATGAGCAGCGCACTCGAAATGTTTGCCAGGTGTGGGCGACGGTTTACTTCTGCTGCGGCAACGGCGGCTTCCAGGTCCTTAAAGGGGTTTTCCTCGAGTGTTAGCCGTCTCAGCATCCAAGATCCCCACACCCCACAACGTCCTGTTGTTTTTCTATCACTTAAAATCAACTTAAGTTGGCATTTGCATTTGCCGGCAACGTCGACGACGACGATGACGACGACAACGCCATGGAGTCAAGTGGATGTAGTCGAAATGCCACTAGAACAGCGCCTTAAATTATGGAACTGACAGGCAGAGCCACCTTTGCCCGAACCCTTTGCGCTGCCTCCATACCCATTTCCCCCATTTGCAACCGCCAGGTGGGAAAACTGCAGTGCTGCACTTGGCAAAGTGATGAACCGAAAGAACATTTCATGCTGCAGTAACAGCAGAAAACTCATTAAGCACGTCGAGTGCGAGTGGCGCTCATTTGGTTGGTTTTTGAAGGCGACAACGAATCAAAAAATCCGTGAAACAATGCGCATGAAATTCCCCGGAAGGAGTGCCTCCGTACTAAAAAGAAAAAAAGCAAAAAAAGAAAACAAAACCAACCACAGGAGGGGGAAAAGTTGGACTGCAAGCCAAAACAGAAGAAAAACGGGAAGAGTAAAATAAAAGTGGGGGAAGAAGTTGTGCTAATGAGTTTTACGATTGAGCAAATGTTGCATTCGTTGGCAGGGAAATGCAGGAAGCCTTAGCTTAATTAAATTACGGCGAATTGGCACTGAAGTTGTTATAACATTGATCTTATTGCATTAGCCTGAGTTAATGGGTCAATTAGGTAACTTCCTTTTAAAAATAATTACCTGCAAATATAACGTATACGACACGTTGCTCATACTGAATATAAAGGCCATAAGCAGGGAGGACCATGATATCCAAATGATATACTGATACGAAGATACCTTCGTGGAAGGAATTAATCTATCAGTATCAAATGCCAATTTTATATACAAACTTAGTGCAGTAGCATACATATTCCGCCCGGTTTCATGGATTAAGCATAAGGATCAATACCATATATACCAATCTATGCTGATTGCGGGGCTTTGCCAGCATTTGGCCACAAATATTGCGTATACAATGTGTTGAGCTTTAAGTGCGGCTTTAAGCCCTCTACCGTCAGCGTTATCTGGCCAGCTTTCTGCGGGAATATCCCCCACTCATTGTAGTGGCGTGTGTATGCATAAATTAAGGACTCTGGACTCAGGACTCGCATTTACATTTGCAAAACGCAGAACGCAATAGGAAACTTTTTGCCCCCCGCCTCCTGCGCCCCTTTTTCGCCACTAAACGGAGATGATTGAAGGACCAGGAGCGCGAGCGGGAAAAGCGGGAAAAGCGGGGCACAATTGAATTTAATGGCTATTAGCATGTCGAAAGACGCCACTCTTAAGCAGCAACCGCAAAACAAAGCTCGGACAGGCTGGAAGACAGCATTTACGACCGAATTGCACAAAAGTTCGCAATTCCCCGCAATGAAGGGGAGCGTGCCAAACAAAAACAAATCCTGACCGCAGCTTTCAAATGCAAATGTGGCTGGGGAGCGGAAAATTCTGGCCACTTTTGCTGGGCTAATTGTAAAATCGTAACGAACTGCGAGGAAATGCGGTTGCCTGATGAAGATGCCAGCTTGGCGGAAAACTCAGGCAGTAATCTAGGAGGTTTTATTTGAGAAAAGATCTTAAATTCCCTGGTTTTGGCTAGCCATCCATTCCCCAACAGTTTTCAACTGCATCTTATTGCCGTCTTCATCTTGGGGGCACAAAGTTCGGCACTTTTGGAGTGGCGCAACTTTAGCGGCGAAACAAGCGTGGCAAAGCATTTGGCAAACATGGAATAACAATTTGCTCAGGCTCCGTCTCCCTTTGGGCCAGGCCAACTGGAAAACAGCAAGCGAACGTGTTGACAACGCATATGCCAGGCCTGGCCAAATCGGAGCCAAAAGGGAATAAAGGGCAGAGGGGAATGAGGCAGGCCAGCCACCGCAATGTAAATAAAATTTGTCTTTTTCCCAGAGCCAGAAATAATCCCCCGGATAAAGTACAGAATGACACTTGCATATTGGAGTATGTGCATTTTATATGGTAAATCGCATGTGCCATGCCTTGTCAGCATTAAGATGTAAAAATCCGTTTAAATTGTAACAAATGCATGGGGGACAAACTGCCTTCCGCCGGAGAAAAACCTAGGTGTAGTAAGGAACCCAGACGATGGTGTAACTATAGGTAAAATATTGCCACAAGGCGCGCTCCCAACACATACACGTATATCTGTCTATCTATCGAACTTTTGCCTTAAGAAAATGTTGCTCCTGCTGCACCAACAATGATAAGCGACACTGGTAGCTTGCAACTGCAGGCAACTGAATGCATGTCGTCGACAGGATGAAGGGGGCCGGGGTGGCCACAAAGGGGGTAAGACAGGTCGAGGCAGGCAACAAGGAATAACCAACATCATGGCTAGAATAAATGCTGGAGAAAACACACATGATAGACGAGTCATGCAGACAAAGTAGAAAATGCTAACGAACGCAGCGCAGATATAGATAGGTGCACGGAACGAAAAACTAAGCTCAATCAAACAATTGTCTAGAAATGATTTCAGAATCCAATGATCACAGATCTCTAGATCTAGATCTCTAGATCTTATAAAGAAATACATGAAATCTGAAATAACAACAAAATGGGATAAGGTTTTGCTCAGTGCACAGATGGCGCTGGGATAACGTGGCGTATGAACAATGCAAGAAACCACAATGCTCTTGTTGTTATTGTTTTACGAGCATTGAAGCTGCAGCAGCAGCAGTTGCAGTTGCAGATGCAGCAGGAGCAGCAGCACCAGCCGAAGACATTCCGCTTATCGTTTGTTACATAAAAGATGTCAGTGGTCCACAGGAGCCGCACAATTGTCAGACATTGATTCCACACCCATATAACATCCTTGATTGCTAGGCAGCATTAGAACCGCCCCCAAACAGAATATAGCCCATTGTCTAAGCTGAAGGGAATGGAATGGAACTTGGACGGGGAACTTGGACTGGGAAGTGGGAATGGGACTGAAAAATAACAATGACCGTGGCAAAAACTCAACCTACATAGATATGTGCAACAATATGTATAGACAGCATGTATAGTATAATATCCACGACTAACGCTCTTCCACCAATTGCAGGCATTATCAAAGGAGACGAAATAATGGTCATCAATGGCGCAATTGTGTCCGATCTAGATATGATGTACTTGGAGAGCGTCCTGCAGGAGGAACAATCGCTCAGCATGATGATGCGGTAAGTTATGACAGCCACAGAGCATCATTGTTCGTGTTTATGCCCTGCTTAACATCTGTTTCGATGTTTCGTTCGGACCTGAATGGCCCGGCGATAAAGTATACGCCGTGTGGCCGCTCCCCATGTGGGCGTGCACACGATGGCCATTGTTTAAATTTCAGTTACACGGATTAATTAACTATTTTAGTCACCCGACCAGGCCAGACTGTCAATTAGCTTTAGGGCGCCCTGTGACAGCGTAATGCAATATCTCGGCCATTGTTCCGCCATTGTTTGGACATTTTGTGTTCATTTCCCAGTTGATATGGCTCATAAAGTTGAAGGAATATCGCCCGACTGACACATTTCAGCTGATTTCGTTGCAACATTCCGGACGGAAACAAAATCTTCATTAATGTCCAGTGCCAGCTGGAAAACAAATTTTGTATGAAAACCAAAAACTGCAGCTGCTGATGCTTGTTAATTAAAAACATTTTGTGCTGAGCTTTCTAGCTCTGACATCACTCAACCAGCTGGCCACAAGCCACATCAAATTCACACACCCCAGAATGTCAACAATCGACAAGCTTTGCCAATTTTTGACGATGTTACACCATAAGAAGTTTTCCAGCCAAAAGGGCAAAATACAAAAAAAAAATGGGCAACCAAACCAATGGCAGAAATTGTTTCGCAACAAATCGGAAAAAAATGCAAAAAGAAAGTGGAGGGGAGAAAAAAAAAAGAAGAACTAGATGTTTGAACCGAAAAATGTTCCATGTACATTCTCGAACCATTTTCGCTTTATAGTTTTCCAGCAAAATCAACAACAAGTTCAAGCCGCAGCTGGTAAATGTGGCGTGTAGTGGTTGGTGGTGAGGGGGGCGAGAGGTGCTGGGTGAAAGAAAAACGTTTGGAAAGCGGGGAAAATTGTGGAGACAAGCCGTAACCCAAACACGTTGCCACTTCACGTTCTCTCGCTTGCCATGCAGTTAGAACGTGGTCGGTGGGCACCCTTGGTTCCGTTCCGTTGACCAGTCCGCCCAGCACCGCCCCATTTTCCGAACCACCCACCCCCCCTCCAATCTGCCAAAACACAGCCCCATCCACACTGCATCACCTTTTGGGCGGGCCGAACGGCATTTTGATAGCCTAATTAGCTTCTCTTTATGGCAAACGAAAACAGAAAAGCCTTTGTGCTAAGCGTTTGTAGAGCCAAATGCGCCCGTTTCTCCCTGTGCCTGTGCCGTGACCCCTGACCCCCAGTCAGCCAGCCAGCCAGTCAGCCGGTCGTCCATTCAAATTATGCACGTTGGAAGCATTTTCCGCATCTTTTGCTAATTTCGCGCACTGACACAGAAAAAGGTCACGGCAGTCCGCATTCGGTAGTCGGCAGTCGGCAGTCGGTAGTCCGGAATCCATTCCAGGTGTCGCTACACGTTCATTTGTTTGGATTTGTCGGGAGGGTCACAAACGGGAATTATGCAAATACCACACGGCACAAAATGGGTTTCTTAAATACTTGAATGCATTTTCCAGAAAGAGATGTATAAATATGTTAGCTTCACCTATGGTACTTGGCTTTAAACTAAATCCAACTTTAAACTTAATCAGTCGAGTTTGTGGCGTGTTAGAGCTGAAATCACATTTTAAAAATATTTTTTTCTTCTCACATAATTTACATCTTAATTAATACGGATGTCATGGGAATACGCACATGTGTGGGCTTAAGCATTAACATTTTTTCCCCTATCAAGTGGGTCAGCAATGATAATTATGCAAATACCTGGTTCACCGGCCCAAAAGTCTGCTCTTTTTCACCCATTGTCTTCTCACTCCGCAGGTCCTCGCGCACAGAGCCACCAGATCTAGTGGGGATCATGAGGGTTACGGACGATATGATTGACTCGCTGGTTTGTCCGCCGCCGCCCACAGATCCGCCGGTGATGAGCGAGGAGATGATAACTGGACTGATTGTTCCGGCCCCCGGTTGGAGTAAGTACCACCCAATTCCCAATTCCCAAATCCCAATGCCCAATTCCCGATTCCCGATTCGCAAAGGCCCAGTGGCCAATGCACCCATGCAAACCCGAAAGAATTCTTCTACGGGTAACCTCGAAATTGTTGTGTGCGAATTCGACCGTTTTTCAACATTTAAGCTGGAAAATCGTACGGGGGGCAGGCGTGCGGTTAAATGGGGCCGTGGGGCAAACCATAGGCAGCATTCATCAGCCACTCGTACAACAAAAGCATACTAATCACGGCTATGGTTGCAGCTCCGTGTCCGTATCCGTATGTACGGCTTGGGGTCCGGTTTTACGAGCCTTGACGTTGAGGTGCGTCGTCCCTATATTTCTGCCTCTCTTTATCCTTTATCCCTGAATACGTGCATGTATGCATGTGTGCGGGTGTGCGGGTGTGCGGGTGTGCGGGTGTGTGGGTGTGCGGGTGTGCGGGTGTGTGTGTGGCAGGAAACGAAAAAGCGCATTTCCGGGCGTGCATGCGAATTTGTAAAGTTCATTAAAGTAATTTATATTTCATTTTTTTTTGTTTTGTTGAGTTGAGTTGCATTAAATGCTGGCTCTAGACAACGGCTGGTGAGAGAGATGGCAACAGAGTTTGCGAAAGAGAGAGGCACTGAATGTGGGTGTACAACATGTACAACAACAATTACATCAATAAGTAAAGAGGGAACGAGAGGCGTGTGTACGTGTGTGTGTGTCGTTTTGCAACAAGCAACTACATAATTACAGGATTACAAACTGCAGCATACATTCGAGCGCTCACACACACGCGCACGCACACACACACGCTGCGCTGCACTCAAAAAGCCGAAGTGGCTAAGAACACAAAACAATTAAAGCCAACAAACGCAGCAGCGGCAAACAACAACAGCAACAACACATGCAACAACCACATCAACAGCGGCACACAAAATGAAACTTTTTTGTTGCGGCAAACAATTAAAAGGCACAGAACGAACACTAAAAAAAGAATTAAAATGAAAAATATAACAACAAAACAAAAATTGTAGCAGAAATTAAACGACTCTCTTTATACGAACGCATATGTGTGTGTCTGTATGTACATGTATTAATATTTATTTCTGCATTTTTATTATTTTTTTTTTTTTGTTGACACACATCCTGGTGGCTAAAAAAGTTTGCCAAAGAAGAAAGGCGTATTTAAAGGGACAATAAAAGCAGATAAAAGCGGAGTAACTGATTACAGGGAGTATTCCCACTTTTTTTTCCAAAGCCACCAATTTTCAATTAAGTTCGTGCTCCATAAAAAAAAAACAAATTCATTGATACCTTGGCTGCCATCATGCCAATTAGTTGTATTAAATTGCGAAAAGTTAAGCCAACCAAGATAGCCGGGCGAAAAAAAGAGTCGGATTTCCTTGAAAAAACTTCGCAAACATTCAAGGGATCATTAACCCCCAGGAAACTATGCAGGACTTGTGCCAAGTTGTTTAGTATCCTGGCACATAAAAAAAGAAAGCTAACAGGAAGAAAAACAAAAAAGTGGCCCAACTAGAGAGCTCCTCGAGCGTTTCCTGCTGCCATAAACAACGGCAAGTCTTACTTTATTTAAAGCCACTAAAACTGGCCAAGTTATTTGCCATCGACAAATTCGGCTTGGCACGTCCACGAGTTATTAGCTCAGGCTTCCGCCAGGACCCTAGAAAAGCCCTACAACCAGGAGTACGTGCAGTTCGCAAGAGGAGACTGCAAACTGAAATTTATAAGACGGCAATTTCCAATAACTACTTGCACACACACACGAACGCCGTGTGTGTGGTGTCAAATTTTTAGGGAAAACGCTCATAAAATTTGTTGCCAGCAAATTTGCATGCAGCAGGGCCAAGACAACAGGATAGTCGACACCAGGACACCAAGACATGATGCTTAAACGCTTCCCGGGTGCTGGCAAAACTACTTCTACATGCCACAAAAACCCACACAAGAGAAATATACCAAAGTACACTGTACTTTGCGGGCCGAACATTAAATGCATATAAACGAAATGTTTTATTTGATCTCTAAAGTTAACTTTTTAACATGTAATATTTTGAACTCACTTGCGCAAGGCCTCATACGTGTATGTTCATTTATGGATCTAAACTTTTGAACTCTGGAGACTGCGAACTTCGTTTATACGAACTTGTTGCCAGCCAACTCCATATTTAAAAATTTCATGCAACTTTTTGGCTGCTCAAAACAATAAATAGTATTTGCGGTCCAGCTGGTTCTTTGCTAAATCTTGTGCCAATAAACAGCCTGGAAGAAATTGCCGTTTCTATGTTTTAAGATTAAAAATTCCCAAAATAGTTGCGGTTTCTTTTTTGGGAAGTGCAAGTGGGTTTCTCTGTGAGTTGGCCTCATATGTATGGGCCATAAATTTTTTTCGGTTAAGAGCATGGTTCGCTCCGTCTCTTTCCCGCCGCCTGTGTCCTTCTCTTTCGGCCGTTAGTGTGTGAACGCTGTGGCAAACACATTGCAGCAATAATCATTACAGCTTGTTGTTGCTGCTGGCTCTTTTTTGTCGTTATTACTTTCGGCTTTGAGGCGGGGTAAAAAACGACGAGGCAGGGAGGCGGGGCGGGAAAGAAGGGTGAAGGCGTGCCATTTTCGCCAGTATTAAAATTCCTTCGTTCGCCTTTTTTTTACTGCACAAACATGGAATTTAAAATTAACAAGCAACAAATAACCGAAAAAACGAGCATTTAATCGATATTCTCCAGGCGCCTGTTAAACACACGTAACGTACACGTACAAACGTACAAAACGGCACACTCAACTAATTACGAGGCAGGCCAAAACTAATAATAATAAAAGTAGTAATAATACTTAATCACAACATTCGCTTATCTCCCCTGCAATTTTCAGATGGCACTAGCAAGGATTTGTACTCGCCGGAGGCGGAAAGCTCCCCGGCCACCTCCTTTGTGGATCCTGCCGCAATGGCCGCCCAGCTGGCGGTGGGCGGCGTGGGAGGCGTGGTCGTGGGCGGACTGGGCGTGGCCAAGCCAACGTCGCGTACGAGCAGCTTCGAGATTGAGAATCTGCTAAAGACCGCGGAGCAAGTAAGTGCAGTGCCCGAAAATCGTTGTTATGATCAGGAGGAAGGTGGAGGGAGGTTGGCGGCTGGAGGATGACCTCCTGAAGCTGGACAACTGGGAATGGGGACAACCAAACGCAAACACAACTCCCTACCTCCCTCCCTCCCTCTGTCTCTCTCTCCCCTCTCGTTTGTTCGACCCCCCATGACCCCCCATGCACGGCTCCAAAATCCCACCCCTTTTAGTATGTACGAGTATTTACCCCCAGCCTTGTCCCACAGGAACCTGCCACTTGGAAGGCAAATCAAATTGCTTTGAACTCGCAAAGCGGAAACGGAAACTATTAAAACGAGCGCCAAACACGACATTCAGTTGGGGGCGGGGCGGGGCGGGGTGCTGTTATGGGTGTGGGCGGACTATATGAATGGATTGTATACTGTAGTTGATGTGGCGTGGCTTTCGGAAGGCCGACTTCCTCCATTCCCCAATGAGCACTTGTGATTGAAATGTGCACAAATTGAAATTTGCACAAAAAGATGTGGCAAGAAACACTCGTAGCAGGAAGCGAGATCTCCGAGAGCTCTATGCCCCAGGGCGTGTCTCGACACATCTCAAGATGTCATGGCAAATTTGGCCTATTGGGTCGCCACTGCCGCCAAGAGGACGAGATCCTCCGACGCGGCGCCGCTTCCTTCTCCTCCAGGCAGCGAACAATAAACGTCACGGATAGCAATGTGCCAGGCATAAAAAAATCAAGGATATCTATATATATATATGCAGGACAACAGATATGCCTACAGAGAAAGAAAAAGTATTCAAGCGAGCATGCTAAAAATAATAACAAGTAGAATGAAACTATAATATGCAGCCGTATTTTAATTCAAAAGTCTGTACGCTATGAATATCCGATGACGAGTTAAGCACATTGAATATTATCCTAATATGCACCCTATCGTAATAGGTATTTTTTTCCAGTGGGTGGCCAGACGAAGGGGTTGAGACAGATAGAACAACAAGCAAAGATGCCACAGAATGCACTTTGTTTTCTGGATATGCTTTCCCCAAGTGTGCTCGAAACTGGCAGAAACCCACTTCATTTAATGATACTTGAACACTGTGACACACAAACACACTGAGGGGAGCCAAAGGAGGTTGAGGGCGAAGGGCTTTGTGGTGGCGGGTGGGGTGGTTGTTGTGTTATATAAGGAATCCTTTTAATTCAAGTTGACATTTCGCACAGGACGAAACGAAGAGGCCGGGCGCAAAATTCAAGACATTTTCAAATTTTTCATCTTTGGGCCAGGCCAGCGGCAACAATGTAGGTACTCAGCGCCAGAAGCTGCCGCAGATGTTGCCACTGTTGTTGCACCTGTTTCACCTGCTGTTGGACCACCACCCACCCACTTCATTTTTTTCCACCCCCTTGTCTGCCGTTTTGGCTTTTGGGTCGGCGTCGCTTATGCAAATCAGAAGCGCAGCTCAGCCCAGCATCAGAATGCAGAACAATAAAACAGTTAAAAGTAGACAAGAACAAGCTGCAACAGCCAAGGGAACCAAGGCTGAAAGAGAGGGGCATAGGGCTGAGGAAAGAGAGGGCACTAACAATACACAAAGTGCAACTGCATAAAAGTGAAACGTCTCCACAATGCCGGGCAACAACAGCGCCAAACAATGACAACTGCAATTGCAGCAGGTCAGAAAGAGACGGAATCGGGGCAAGGGAAAGAGATGGCGCTAAGGCCTAGTGATGGCAACGTGACAAACGGATTTTGCGGCAAGGTTTAAGATTCAGAGAAGGCTTACTAATAAATCTACGAAAAGCAAAGTTCCTTTGAAAAATTGCCCAAAAAATTAAGTGTCAGTCAAATTAAAGTTCTATACTTCTGCATCCATACTTATATGCGGTAGTTCTTAAAATGTAATCCTTTTTACCTCCAACTACTTTTTTTCTTTTTAGTTTTAACATGCAATATCCCTTGCTCTGCAAGTTCAAGACCTTCTTTGGGGTTAGAGTTCTGTTTGTTTAGGTATTTACAATGCAAATTCATTTGCCGCTCCTCTTGCTAAGTCAATTTATCAGGAATGCTCCATTTAACACTTTTTTTCTTATGCTGTGACAAAGACACAAGTAGGTGAAGCAGAAGAGCTAAGCAAATAGGAGAAATGTCTCTGAAGAATGTCTCTGCCGCCACTAAGTCTTAATGCAAAAGTAGGGGGGTTTTGTGGGGGTATCCCATATGATAGGGATGGGGCTAACACCATGTCTGTATGTATTTTGTGTATGTCAACCGTCAAGCGTCAACTGTCAGTGCCAAATGTGCTTGTAACCGCAAACACACAGAGAAAGGGCGAAGGTTGTGGGTGGCACGGCCACCAGATAGTTACTATCTCGGATGGAAGGGGGGTGGTGGGGCTTGAGATCGAGACCCACAAACACTTTGTCCGCAACACCAACAACGCGCGAACACCCTTGGAGGACAAAGAACAAAACACCAACAACTCGGACAAGGACGTGACAGTCATTTAGAACCGCAGCTGTCTCTGTGTCTCCTTAAAGTGGCCGCGGGCCTGCTGCCACGCCCAATAGCCAGTCCAAACCCCTTTGAATAACCCAACCATTTGACATCGCCCCCAGATCCAACCCCCCTGGTGTTATAAACTATCACTATTCTTGTCTATCTCTGTCATGGCTAACTTCATTTTTGTTTATTGTCATTTATTTGGTGTCTCCTTTTCACGCGCTCGCATCTCTTTTCGTTCTGTTCTACCTTTGGGTTTGTTCCTCCTCATCATGCAACAATCAACACAACACCAATATAACAACTCTACAACAACTCAACAACAACCACACAACACCACTGTTACAACAACTACAACTTGAACCTGACCTGTGAACCGTGTTAAGGTTACCGGATTTTGTCGTTCACCCCAGGAAACGCGGAAATCGAGCCCAACCGGCTCGGTCACCTCATCGGTGTCGACCACGGCATTAACACCATCACGCCAACTGACCGATGCGGAGAAGCTGCGCAAAGTCGTCATGGAGCTGGTGGACACGGAACGCACCTATGTGAAGGTAAGTGTACACAGCGAAAAAAAAAATGCATTACTGATTTTGAGCGTTCTTGCACACTTTTAGACAGCTTTGTTGGTGTTTTCAGATATTTGGAAATTTTATATTTATATTAATATTGCAAATACAAATAGGAATAGTCCGAAGTATTCTTTTGAGTTAAACATTTTCACATATGTATCTGCAAAAGCTTAAGAAAGTTGGAAGTTTCTACATTAATACGGGCTGTTTATCTCGATTATTATTTGGTTTTCATAATTGCTTCCCAGCATAATGAAATATTTCTAATCCTACTTGTAAAGCATTTTTGTTTGTTCAGTGTGCCCAGATCCAACTTAAATGCAAATCCCAGAATCGACCAACCGACCTGTGTTCATAAGGATGGAGCGGCAAAAAGTTCGCCTGCAATTAAAAATGCAAATTTTAATCCTTTAACTGTGTCGCTCGGCTTCCGTTTGGGATTCTCTATTTCTCTGCTTCTACTTCTGTTCCAATCGCAATCTCCTTGCCAGTGTTTGCTTTAAGCCAGCTTCAAGTTTGGTATTCGTTGGTCTGGGCTAGGAAGTATACAAATAATTATTATAATTTAGAAATTATGTAAAGCGCCGCTGCGGCAACGGCGAAGGCTCCGGGTCTTATCTGTGGCGAGCGACCAGACTGCTGCCCCGCCCACAGCCCGCTCCGCCCTACCGCCTACCGCCTACCGCCCACCGCCCACCGCACCCCCGCTGCCCGGAAGTATTGTTCCAAATGAAAGCGCGCGCCTGTGGCTATGCTACAGTATGCCTCCACTCTTTTTTGTTTCATGTTTTGTGCCAGTTGGCAAAACTAAAAAGTTTCCACCAACCAAGCATAACTGCTGGCCAACTCCGCCGGGAATTGTTGTGGCCAAAAAGGGCGGTGTGGCAGTGGCAAAGGCGCGGAGTCGTCGTCGGTCGTTGATTTTTTAATTTAATTTATGCATTTTCGCTGTTGTCCCAAAAAAAGGAAGTACGTCGTACCTTAATTTCGGTGTTATCATTTGGGCTTTATTGAACCGTCGAACCTCGCGAATTTACCTTTGCAGCACCTGAACAATCTGCTGGAGCACTATCTGGAGCCCATGAAACGCGAGACATTCCTCTCCAATGCCGAGATCAACGCTCTGTTCGGCAACATACACGAGATCGTCACATTCCAGCGGCAGTTCCTGCAGAATCTGGAGGAGTCCTTGGACCTGGAGCCGGAATTCAACAAGTTCGAGCACTGCGGCCAGTTCAGAGTGCGTTTCCCAAATGGTAACTTAAGTGTTGCATTAAAGTAATGGCATTTCATTGCTATTCGCAGAATGTGCTCTTTGCGATTGGCTCGGCCTTCCTGTATTACGTCAACCACTTCAAGCTGTACTCCTCGTTCTGTGCCAGTCACAGCAAGGCGCAGAAAGTCCTGCATCCGAGTGAGTATTCCCCCAAAGCATTAAGCACTCCACTCAGCTTTCAGCATTCAGCATTACCCGCAATCCCAGTCCCAATTCCTCGGACAAATCAAACTCGCAAAGTATGGAAATTCATTTACATACATCAGCAGGGCGGGAGTCGAGTATAAAATATAAATGCAAAAGAAGGCAGTGGCAAGCTGCAGGGAAATGTCGAGAAAATTAAATTACAACTTTTATTAGCCACATCACAAGATGTGTATTTGCATATTACAGGATTGAAAGGGAAAGTGAAAGTGCAATTGAAATCTCTGAAAAATCAAATTAATATGCATTCCTGACCAGAAGTAACAATGTTAGTGCCCAGAGAATTTATTAGCAATTTTAAACTGAAATAATTGAGTAATTTAGGTGGCGTACTTTAACTTTAGTAAGGTCTTGTAAAATGGACATTAAATGTTGATATAGCTGCTGTCCTATCAGAGCAGAGTTGTCCTCGATGAAACTAGCAAGTGCGTTACCCTCACGAAACGCACTGTACATGTGTGTTTAGCCTTTTCCGTGCACACATCGTACGAAACATGCAATCAGCGTCAAGCGTCAAAGTCTATTTGAGTTTCAGTTGAGCGAGAAACTTGTAAAAGTCAAATAACCGAAGCGAACCCATCCGAACCCACAGAGCGAACAATTGGCAAACTATTCGCTTCAATTGTGCCACGCCCAACGCCTCACGCCCCCTTTAAAATGATTTGCAAGTTAAATGAATAATTACAACCGCAAATGCCGACGACGCCGGAGATGGCGCCCCCATCAGATTCACCCCAAAGTGAAAACCGCAAACCGAAGGCAAACTCCCAGCCCAAAAAAGAGGTGTGATGTGGCGGCAGCAGCATATTCATATTCATGCCAAGGCAGCCAGCGGTGGCAGCAGCAGCAGCGGCAACTGTCAAGTATCTTTTGTTAATTAAACTTGTAGAATTATGACACGCTTACAAATGGCGACCCAAAACTATGCCAGGGCTTCAGAACTTCTGTCCTTTGGGGTGCGAAGAGTTGGGCTGCACTGGGGTGGAACTTGGGTGGAACCTGGTGCTCCACTTCCACTAAGCCTGCCTTGCAGTGAGCCGGATAAAAGGCTGCTGTGGCGCGACAACATGTCATAATTAAATTAGACTTAGTCTAAGCTCTCAAAACACTCGAGCAAACAGATGGCTAGATGGCTAGATGGGCAGATGGGCAGAGGCTAGGTGGGCAGAAGGGGGCATGCAACGCACCTTTATCCGTGCCACATTGATTGTGGCCAGGATGATGGTAAGGGATTGCAGCTAATCAAATCGTTGAAGGCAAAAAACTGTATGCGCAATATTTACAATCAGGCAATCAGGGAAGGCGTAGTCAAGGTAACCTGGGAGGGGGCAAGTATCCCTGCAAGCATCATCCACTCGAGGGGGCGGGCGGTGGTGCCATTGGGGCAGGCTGTTGCATGAAATTTTATGCAAAAAGTTGAAAGGATAATTAATTATAGCAAGAAGTGCACTTAAGTGCCTTCGTTACGTGCAGGAGCAAGAACAGGAGCAGGAGTGGATTGGAGGGCTGGAGCTGCAAGCGGAGTGGATGGATGGATGTGGGGCGGGCAGAAGGACAAGCAGCCAGCGACAGACGCTATTAGACGTAAATCTGCAACGGCTGAAGCTCCATCTCCTGCTGCCTTGCCTGCTGCAGACAGGCTTTGACTTTGCCTTTTATCAAAAGCTGCTCGGCTGACAATAAGAACAAGTTAATGACATTTTCTTGTCGGCGTTGTGACGCTGTCATAGCCGCTGTAACTGCATATCCTTGTGCATCCTGCCACGGAACAATACCAAGCAACCACCCCCTCATCAGTGCCCCGCCCCACCCGTCTATCATTGACTCTAATGGGCCAACGTTGCAATTAATTACACCGACTCGAACGAGCGTCCATTGAAATCGAATCATTTGGCAAATGTCTCAATTTGCATTTCAATTTTTACCCATCTCTGTCATCTCTGCCATTCAAACAGACGAGGGCAATCACGCCCTGCAGGAGTTCCTCGCTGCCCGGAATCCCAAGCAGCAGCACAGCAGCACCCTGGAATCGTATCTGATCAAGCCCATTCAGCGCATCCTCAAGTATCCTTTGCTCCTGCAGCAGATGCGCAACCTCACAGACACCCGGGCCGATGAGCATGTGCATCTTTGCGGTATGTATCTGGCATATATGTCCACTTGTGATCAGTGTACTGATGGACTCCAACTCCAACAGAGGCACTCAAGGGCATGGAAAAGGTCGCCGAGCACATCAACGAGATGCAGCGCATCCACGAGGAGTACGGTGCCATATTCGATCACCTGTTCCGGCAGCACCAGAAGTCTTGCAAGCAGCCCATTGATCTAAGTCCAGGTAAAGAAATTTATAGCCACTTTTACACACCTTAAAACATATATCACAACTCTTTAACTTACCTAAATCTTAAATCTTTGTTGCTATTATTTTTAGGCGATCTGCTGTACTACGGCGGAGTCGAATGGCTCAACATCTCGGACTTCCTGGGCAAGATCAAGAAGGGACTGGAACTGCATGCCATGTGCTTTGTGTTCAAGTCGGCGGTGGTGTTCCTGTGCAAGGAGCGACTGCGTCAAAAGAAGAAGTTGATGGTAAGAAAGGAACCTACCAAATCAGTCGCAGAATACTAACCCAATTTATGCATATATCATATTCGTAGGGCGTTTCCAGCAAGAATGCCACCAATGAAGTCGAGATCATTCGCTACCAGGTGCTCATACCCGTAACCGAGGTGCAAGTTCGCGCCAGTTCGGCCAAGGACATGGATTCCCACTTCCTGTGGGAGCTCATCCATCTGCGCTCCCAGTTGCAGCGCCGTTCCGAGAAGGTCTACGTGCTGTCCAACAGCACCGCCGACTTCCGCAATGCCTTCCTGAAGACCATTCGCCAGATCATTCGCGAGAGCGTCCGGAACATGTCAATTCCGATGAAGAACTTTGGCGGCAGCTCCGGCTCCGTCTCCGGACACTCCTCGCAGGGCATGGGCAGCATGGGCTATGCGGGCAACTCTCAGACGCTGGAGCGTCCCAAGCAGCAGGTAAGTGATACCACTACCTGGTAACCAATATTTTTGTGATATTTATTCCATTACTATTCCATCCTGTTCCACAGATCACCATCGTTCATGGCTCGCACACTCTGGGCAAACCGAAGAAGAAGTCCGGTTCGCAGCGCCACTCGGCTGGCAACATTGACTACGACAATTTATCAGGCAGCCAGGAGGCGGACGACCTGCCACCCAGTGTGGGCGTGGTCCACTACGCCTCCGGCCACGCCCACGGCCAGCAGATGCAGCAAACTGGATTCCGAGGTCGCAGCAAGACGGTGGGCGATGTTACAGGTGAGTTGATATCCATTCCGGATGTTTCCGCTTCTGTCGAGAAGATTGCTAACAATGCATCATTGTTATCATCATTGGCATCATTGACATCGCCATAAAGAAATCACCTGCTCTTCCCCAGAACCCCATCAGCAGCAGCAGCAGCAGCAACAGCAACAGATGATGCAGCAGGGGCACGCCCATGCCCATCCACATCCCCATCCGCATCCACGGGAGCCACCGCCGCCCCCGATCAGGCAGCCACATCTGCACCACCACAGCACGGACATCGAACGGATCGATCCTGGAACGAAGTCGGAGGGCGAGGAGGACTCGCAGCAGGGCACAATCAGGCCCAAGGCCACTCTGGGTCGAACGCCCAATCACCTGACGCTGAGGTGAGTCCGGCTAGTCCTCCTACTTAACCCCTGCTAACTGGTTTTCTGCTGGCTAACTGGATTCAGCCAATTCAACTAATAATCGTTGCGGTAAATGAGATATATGCATTTACTTTACCTGCAATATTTAATTCCAAATCAGATGCATTGCTTTTAAAATTAACATTCATTTTAATACCGCTGTTTTGCTATAGTTTAACGTAATATTAACAGCTTTTACTGAAATATTGGCATTGAACTGGGATTTAAGTTCGAGCTCTGCTCAATTAACTTTGTTTATAGTGAGCATCAAACGAAAAGTGAATTAAATGAGCGTTTAATCCAGTCAGTCTGAGAATATCCAGCCAAAGTTATAGTTCCCCGAAGTAAGCTCGACTATTGCTTGACCCTGTGAACTTATCCTTTCTCTTACCGCTCGACCCGCATCTTGACATATGAAATGTGAAATCCCGCAGCACCACATCGACGCTCTCGGTGGGCAGCACCGGCAGCCAGGCGCGCCTGATTCAATCGTCGCATCCGCCGGCCAGTTACCAGCCGGTGCTGATGAAGGACCTAGGTAAGCCCAGCCCGGATGAATCGGAGCTCGAGTCGGAGTCGGAGGTGCATGCCGTCCAGGTGGCGGCCTCCTTTAACTTAAGTCTAGGTAGTAGTGGTAGCTTATTCGCCTCCGATGCCCGAGATAATCAGACCCAGTCCCGCACCCAAACCCAATCCCAAACCCAAACCCACTCCCTGCATCCCTCACCTCGTCAGTCGCCGCGTCAATCGCCGCGACAGTCCCCCAAGCAGGACATCGAGGTGATTGAGATCTTCGAGAGCGAGGCGGAACGGCTGGCCGCCTCCCAGCAGGTGGCCGTCGTCCACCAGCATCCGGCGGACCAGGCCAGGGAATCCGGGCATAAACAGCGACGTGACCGAGACCGTAACCCAACCGAGACGGACGCCTCAGCCCGGTTTATGGACAAGCACTTGAGTGACCTCGAGCAGGAGAACCTGGCCGACGGCACCTGTGACATTGTGGCCTACATGGAGAGCCTGCGCGAGAAGGCCTTTGATCCACAGGATCTGGCCGAAGATACTGGCGATCAGCAGCAGAATGACTCCAGCCTCTCGCCGGAGCCACAAACCATAGTGGAGAATACACAGCAAACTGTGGTGGTGGATATTGAGTCGCCGTCCCGGCCAGCCACTGAATCGGATAGCACTGGCAACACCACCGGGCCCTCGGAAAGATCGGGAGATGAAACGGAGGAGGAGGCCACCACCAGTTCGTTGGCATCGCATATCGTTGTGATTGACAAGAAGGTAGACAAGATCTTCAAGGCCAAGTCACCAGAGCGTCCGGCTTCCACCAAAGTCAAAGGTGGCAGAAGGCAGATATATATATCGCCAGATCGATGCAAGTCCCAGGGTAGCTCCCCCGTAAGGATCATCAAGATTAAGTCACCTCGCACCAGTTTGAGTGATCAGGGCAAGCGGTTGAGTGTGTCCTCCTCCAGGGACAACTCTCAGGATCGACTGTCGGGCGGGCGAAGGACACCGAGTCCTCGTCGCTCCTCCGAAGGCGGTGGCATACTGAAGCACACCACAGGACCTGCTCCCGGCATCCTGAAGCCACCTTCCAGTCCAGCCAAATCCAAGAGTCCGGACAGGAGTTGCCTCAAAAAGGGCGGGCCATCGCACGTTTGCAGCGTGGAGACTCTATCGCCAAGGGTTTCACCCAGGGGCAGTATGGATCACCTATCCCCCGATCGGGGAATGACCGGCAGTTCCTGTCTGCGCCACTCGCCGCGCAGCAGCTTCGACAGCCACGGCGAGTCGGATCACAACTTGGATGTGCCACATGGCAGTCGCAAGAGGAGTATGTCTGCCCACGGCAGCTTCGAGACGGGCACCCGGCTAAGGGCCCAGGAAACCTATCAGTATTATCCAGTGTACGACAACCAGACCTGCAGTGATCACTATGTGGCTGCCGCTCCAACTGGGCGATATGGTGGGGGCACTAGTAGCAGGAGCAGGCTGAGCAAATCCCTGGAGCGCTCTACTTCCAGGGATAGCACCACCACCAGTAGCTCCTACGGGCACAGGGCGTATGGTGTTTCCCCCGACCGTAACTACGTGGTCTTCAGTTCCGGGCCACTGCGATCGCAATCCGCTGAGAATACCTTCTCCTCGCAACCCATATACGATCCCTTGCCACGTCATCCACCACAGCCACTGCATCAGCCGCCGATGCACCACCAACAGCAGCAGCAGCAGCAACAGCAATATATGAGCTATGCCCCAGAGATGAGTGGATACACTGGCTGTCAGCACGATCCGCAGGGTGGCTACCAGCTCAGCTCCTCGGCACCGGAGTACACCACATGCATCGACTGTCTGTACCAGAAGAGACCCTCCTAGCATAAGTCCCGCGTGCGGCAGAGTCGCACGCGGAAGAAGACGCCACGCGGAATGGTGGTGGTCAGTGCGCAGCCGACGGCCACCGGGGGAATAGGATTCGTGCCCGAGATGGGCAACGCCGAGGCACCCGGCGGTTGTGTGGACTGCCACGACTACTTCGAGATCCACGTCTAAGGGAACTACGGCATGAAGGAACTTTCACTCAAGGACCTCCACTAAAAGACCTCCACTATTTTGAAACCAAAGATAACAGACGAACAACCCGAAATGCCTCAACAAACTAATTTTAACCGAACTCAGCTCACATATACGTAAACTCACAATGCAAACTACGAACGTAATCAATACCGAACACGAACTTCCAACACAAGGGATTGAAATCAAAAAGACCTAGCCTACAGAATATACACTCTACTTACTAGAAAACCACAAGCATAAGTAATAGAAGACAGGCACACTTAAAACTAGATGAAATGGCTCAAACGCTACCATACCCAAATCAAAATCCCCCTACCGCGTATTTGTTGTGTAAGTGTTAGCCGTAAGTCACCGAACCTGAGCGTAGCTAGCTCTTTTAGCGCAGCATATGTAGTCCATACCAAAACTAATCAAAGGATAAAACGGAGGGTAACTAATCCCGGTCGGCGATAGTTACATTGCACAATGGGTATGAGCCGTGCCACCGTTTTGCAGTTAATTATTTAAGTTGCAACCGAGTTGGGCGCGAACATTTCGCCGTGATTTACACACTCACCCACACGCATTAACGAACAAAATGGCGGAAGTTCCGCTCGCCTCGGGTGGCAAGTAGAAATATTACGTATACGCCGCGTTGCACACACAATACTCAAGTGCCGTAATTACGAGGGCAAACAACAGAAAAGAGCAGTAGCAGCTAGAGCAGAAGCAGCAGCAGTAGCAGCAGCAGCAGACGCAACTAAAACTAAAGTTGAAATTCATACTCGCACTCAAGTAAACTATGTACTAAGAGACAGGCAGACAAACAAATGGCAAACTCAACTTGAAACACATATAAATGGGAAAGTAAGACAGCCCAGAGCAGATATAGAATGAAAAGACACCGAGCACAGCTAAAAAGTTCGGTAAAAGTCGCCAGCTAACTAACTATTAGCTGTGGGAGCAGAAAGCGGAAAGGCGGGGTGGAAATTGTGTCACTTCCGTAAATGAAATCAAAAATTTTTAATTACCCATCTGGCGACATGGATCTACTACTGAGCTGGGCTTTTTGGGTCGAATGCCAACATTCCAGGGGTTAACATAAAATATACCTAACAAGAGTTTACCTATCGATATGGGGATTATTTACATAAGGGACAAAAAAAAAAAGGAAAGAGGACAACTAGCAGAAAACTAAATCAAACATTAGTTAGTTAGAAAATTTTGCCAACTTGCACGTTTGTGCTATTCGGGCATCGGTGTGTGTGTACCAATAATGTTGTGACAAATAATTTGCATATATGCATATGGTTTTTATATGATTTTTATAGGTTTTTTATAGATATAAACAAATATACATGCATATACAAGTCGACGGGCAAATCAAATGAAGCATTTTTCGCATGGGTTTTCCACCATTTCCGTTTCACATTCCAATTAAATCAGCAAATTTAAAGCATACAATAAAATGAAAACAAATCAAAATGGAGATGTATTCAGAGAATGATAATCGTAAGTCGTACCTCAATGTTCAGTAATGGGTAATCATATTATATACATACATGTACACTTAGGTAGCTCCGGAAATACGCGTATATAATAATATATATCCTCCCTTTTCGAGGCGCGGATCGGGAATCCCCATTCGATTCTCCGATCCAAGCCGCACAACTCTCGACTAAAAATATATAGAAAACGGTTAAGATCAAACAAATTTCAGGTTGTTGTAACGAGAATTCAAAGCAGTATAGAAAAGTGGACGAAGAAAGAGCATAGTCAGAATAAATAAGTTTAAGCTTCAAGAACATTTACAGTTTACAGTTTACACTGGGCTTCACAGCAGCAAAATCAAAACAAGAAATGGTAACAAATACTCTCAAAAATCAAAATATACATCGTAAATACGGCATATATATACAGCAGCATATACAGCATAAATGTTAAACGAAACTAAAAACTGGAGCTCTCGAAATCCAAAAAAATACTCAATAAATGCAAACTAAATAAAGATAAGCGGTGGCCGCGAACAGCGAACATTGAAGAGAAGCAGTACAGCTAAAACAAATATCAAATTTAACCAATAATCCTTGTGTGTGCACAACCCACACACGGCCAAACACTGAAATCCACTAAACAAATAATCGAAAAATCAACACACTAAATGCAAACTTCAAAATGAAATTCGTAAAAACTAAACTAAAGCGAGCCCATACGTACATAACTAATAATGGGAACTGCAAACTTAATTCAACTAACTAAAACTAAACGAACTAAATCAATCGAAACGCAATTAACGAACTGGCCCATAAGTTTAACGTAAATACATAAAATACGCCAAAGCAAAAAAATACAAAAGGACAGCGACAAGTAGAGGACACCCCTATATGTAGTTTATGCACCGATTTCCTGGCCCATCCAAAAAGAAAAAAAACCTCTCTCGAATCGAACATACCCTCGATTAGTTATGCATTTAAATTTGTTTAGTAGTTGCTTAGCAGGTAAGTGCGATATTAATTTGTAATTAGGCAAACGAACGATGAGTACTTGAATTGAATTAGTAATTAAACATAAACAATTTAACGGGTGATATTTCATTTTGTCTACACACAATTATCTCAAAGATAACTAAAATCCCAAAAACACATGAAAAATTGACTCGAATAATGTTGAACTCAGTTAGATATACACTTAGTCGTAACTCTTAAGTCGGAGCTGAAGTTGAAGTTATCTTAGGCATGTTAAGTTAATAGGTATTATTTCCCGCCCATTCGATGCATTTGTGTGTATCTCTTCATAGCGTATCTGTGTATCTGTTGTGTCTGTTACAAACACTTGATATTATTAGTTGGCATCGCTTGATTAACAAACAACTAACCGAAAATTCGATTCAAAATCAATGAACTTTGCAAGTTTCCCCTTCAATTTGAATGTTTTGCATTTTCTCTATCAATATCACGACTAAATGACAGAGTGTGCCGAAGATCTAAAGTCAAATCTTGTACTGCTGAATGCCATGCCAACCGAAAGAGAGCAATGCTAATGCCAAGTCCATTATAATCGATCTATATATATATATATATATTTATCTAACTATATATGTCTTATGGTTACACACACCAGCCCCACCAACTCAACTCCTCACCACCCCCCGATATCCAGAATTATTCGGCATTTTATCACACATTGAAACGCAATTATTTTCCAGAAATTTAATTCTGTTTCTGTTTTCCGTACAACTTTTTGTATGCCAAAGCTAAATAAAATGAAATTTAATTAAATTTTATGAAACTTTCATCTATGCACAACTTTTACCATCATTTTTGAATCACGCTCTTGACTTTTGCATCTGGAAAACTAATATCCAAATTAGCAAGTGGGTTAACTGAAATGCGAACAATTTCAATTTCACCACTTACTGTACCATCATTTTCCAAATTATAAACACCCCATTTTCCTTCCCATAAAATTGTACATCAATTTCTCTCTATCATTTTGCAAATAAAATTGGAGCCCTTTAATGAAAACACACACATGAAAAGCAAAAGAGGCAGAACGGAAAATGTTGGCATAAAATGCAAAACTTTTGATCGGAAATTCGAAAAATTGCCTAGTCCTAACTTAAGCTCTTGAAAAAAGCTAAACTATCTGCAAACGCGAAAATGAACCAAGCGATGTCAACATTTTAGCCAACACAACTCTCTCTCTATTCAAAGTCCCCAAATCACAAATATTAGTTGTTGAATTAGCTGTTAATCACTCCCACTACCCAGACCCAGTCCCCAAAAACTATATCAAGTAGACAAACAACCCGCTTGAAGTAGTGCTCATTACATTAAACAATAATTAGTTTTACTTATATTTTTTAACCGACAAAATTAAAAAATTTTGCTTGCATGCTTCTCAACTAAACGAATCCGAATTGGCCACAAATGACTTATTCAAATCTGTTCGACACAATTGTATATAACCAAATGGAGGTGCTACCCTCCGCCCACTTGCTCTTTCTAACTCTTTCGATCTCTAAATCTATATTTTCTATCTGACAAAAAAAGAAAAAACCAAAACCAAAACTACAAATTAAGTTCTGCAAAACCAAAAAGAAAATATTTCATAATTTTTCATATATGGTTTCCATTGTATCTTTTCTTTTCTTTCATTTAATTGTAGGGTCCCCGGTGTGGAAACCACGAGACATGATAAATTTAGGCACAGATCCACAGTCAACAACCCGCAAAGACGATGTGAAAAATTAAATCAGAAAAAGCAAAGCAAAACATTTAGTATCAAGCTAAGCAAGCATAAGAACTCTTAATCCACAACTTCAAATCCTCTGTTCGATTTCTCAATTTTACCTAATCAAGTGTAAGGCAACGGCAACAGAAACAGCTAAAAGCAAAGCAGAAAGCAAAAGCAGAAAGCAAACAGCAGAAGCAACAGTTCAAAAGTTCAAAGCAGGCGAGCAGGCGAGCAGGCGAACCCAAAAGCATTTTTCAAGCTCAACGCTGCGATATGAAGATGCATTGAATCACCGGCCAACATCGGTGGGTGAATGGATGTGGTTGGCTTTTGAAGAATGCTTGGCTTCGGTTTGTTTCCGCTCTTTTAAAATGGATAAAACATCGAAGAGTTTTTGTCATTTTTTACGTTTGCGTTTTTAAACGGGAAAAGCACCACGAAAAGGATGCCACAGATCCTTTTTAGAACAGCAAAAAAAGAAACCAAAACAAAAACGAAACAAAACCAAAACATAAAACATAAATAAAAACCAAAAGAGAAGACTTTGATTTATATTGATTGTATTTAAAGTGCAAAACATATAATAAAAGCATAATTAAAGCGAAGGATTTTGAGCAGATTTAATATGAACTAAGTGAAAAGATTTAACAAGATTAAGAAATACGAGAACAAATTCAAATGCATTTGTCGCTGAAAAGACTTGAAAGTAAATTTCGATTTAAATACATTTATTGAGGACAAGACGAAGATGCAGCTGTCAAAGCGACGAGAAGGGAAACCCGTAAACAAATTGCAAACATAGTATTTAGGCTTAGAGAATTTAAATTATAAAAGGAAAACAAAAAACAAACGAAGACCCCAGAGAATTGCAACAAAAAACAAAAAAAAGAAAACGATACAAAAGTCAAATGCAAAGTAAGAAAAACCAAAGGGTTGAATGAAAAACATTTTAGCCAATTAAGCCACACACACACACACCCTCACAAAAACTGAAGCAAATCAACACAGTCGTAATCGTAATGAGAAAATTGAAATGAAAACAGCAATGAAAATGTTTAGTTCGTAGGAAGTACACTGAAAAAATACATAAAGATACCATACAAAATCCACATACACATTAACGAAAAATAGCAAAAATTTAGTCAAAATGTTAAATGGTAAACTAAATGAAAACGAAATAATAATGATGCAAATGAAATTAAATTGGGCTCCGAGCCTCCACAAAGAATCCAATCAGCAAATACAAGCAAACTAAAATTAACTCAAAGCAAAGCAAACTCAACACGTTAAAGCGGGCAAACATTAAATTAAATTATAAATAAAAAACTATGCAAAGAAAACAAATTAAATGAAAGTACATAAGCATTAAAAAAGCAACACAAACCAAAAAAAAGACAACACCTTCTAGCAGAATTACAATAATAATTAAGAACTTCACTTTGAACACTTTAAGAATCGAGAAACGATGACAACAGAATTATAGTTAAACAAAGAAAGCCTATCCCCAGCCCAGAATCCCATAGACAAAGGCACAATTTTTGAGAACTCAATTACTGAATACATTTGATTTCCCTACGTCTCAATACCCTATGGTTTTCAATTTTGTAGGACGAATTTTTAGCAAGAAGAACAAAAAAAAATATATAGTCGAATACAATGAAAATTCTACCAGATGAGAAATAATAATTAATTGGTTGTGAATGCAGCTTGGATGTTAATTCGATTCAGGAACAATGAAATCCCCAATTGCTGAACGTTTGTTTATTCTTCTGGCCGCACACTGTTCGTGCGAGTGGCGATTGTCTTTTTTTCAGTGTACTTGCAGGCATTGCTCACACGCATTCATTTTTTACTCTTCCCCCTCCCAGAAAACCTCATAAACTCATTGAACCATGTAGCAACAAATCGAAACATAATCAAAACATTTTTTAGGTTTCCAATCAA